AAATGAGCTTTGAAGTGATATATGATAACACAGTATTCGAAAAAAAAACTGCTGTTAAATGACAGCAAAATATGAACCTGAAACTCTGACATTAAATTCTGAAAAACGTGATAATTTTTTAAGCGGGCTAGTATAGAGTATAGAGTGCTGTGAACAATGTTTGAAACGTGTTACGTGAAAGAGCACCATTCTTATGGTCAGAAGATTACCTTGGCCGTTTACTGATTAAAACCTTACAGCTGATATTTCACAGCTGTAATTTTATGAGACTACTGTATTGTTAGAAAAAAATTTCCAGCATATAAGAATAAGTGCCCACCTACTTTCATCGCTGTAAGCAACAACACCTTAACTTCCGTGTTTACCTATCTCCACTACTTCAACTTCGCTTCTTCGCGCATTAAGCTGCAGAACAGAAAATTTAGTGAAAAAAGGCAAAGAAATACGAGATACTACATTATTAAACTGACCCAACAACTCTACCGATCTCGCATGCAGGAAACTCTTGCAAGTCGAGAACACTAGTTAAGAGAGCGAGCTTTTGTGAGCATGGAGACCGTAGATGAGTGTAGGCTGAAGGCAAATTAATGAAATAAAACTCAGTTCAATAAAAATATTCGAAAGGAAGAAAATATGGTGCACATATCCTATGAAATGTTTTACATCTTATAGCTAGCACCTGGTCGTTTCCGACCCAATTTAACCGCATGTCCGTCAGCTGGAGAAGCGCAACATAATCTCGCAGTTATTCGGTATTAAATTTATCACACGGATAGAAATAGAATATTAAAATGCAAATAGGCAAACGCTGTCGCTGTCTAAATAAAATATTGCGGCATCACAAACCTTTAAAAGCCAGCTATGTGCCAGCTGAGTGCCCAACTAATGTGACGTAAATAACGCTCGGGTATTTCGTGTGAAGAAACTGAATTTAGAAAATGAGAAATAGTCGGGTATTAGGTAAAATAATGAACTTGAAATTGGGATGATAAATCGTCATATAATTTTTTTGATGTTCAAATATTGTCGCTCGCCTACAAAAGTCTGTTAAATGAAGAGACTGCTTAGACAAAATGTCCCTTATATGTAACGTAAAGAGTACGAAGACTTTAAGATACTGAGATAGCAAAAGTCGACACCTTAATTGAGATACGAACCCGCGATTACCTTCTCCGGGAGCACACGCATTGTACACTGCACCAACGAGGCTCTTGGTTTGCCTTTCTCTCGGCCAGCTTTTTCCTTCAGCTGCCCTCAGCAATCACCTGTAAAGAAGGACAAAAATTAATTCACTGAAGTTAGACTCCTATAAAAAGCGCAAATAGTTACAAGTAAGATTGTTGGTAACGAACACCACATTTATTCAACAAGATTATCGTTCACATATCAGTTTAGGTTAAGCAAAACACTTGCGGTGGCCAATTAACAGCCAACTTTTAGTAATTTCACTCACGAAATTCGCAACCTCCTGCAGTCTGCTGTATCGACGTAGGTAACAATCGTCGCTGGAGGTGAAAATTTGTCAAATTCTAAACAAGTGCAGGCTTGTTTTGTTTATTTATGAAGTACCTCTCGAAGTGCAGTTTTCCTCGGATGTGATATTACTAAGAAAAGAAACATTAGAAATTTAACGTATTCAAAAACAAACGATCAACTTCGGAAAAAGAAAACACAGAGTCGGGAAAGGTGAAACTCGTACCATGAAAAACCAAAAAGGATACAAAGAGTAGGTTAAAAGAGTGTGTTGTTATCCAAGATGTAATATAACTACATAGACGCGATAGAAGATTTATCGGGCGAAATGCTATTAACTTGTTTTTTGAAAATCGCAGTAGTGGCGTAATCTATGAAATGAGGCAGTGCGGCATAGAAAATTTCAGTAAAGAAACTGTGGTCAACTAACGTTCTTATCTATGGTGTTTTGCACCATGTGAAACCTAGAAAGTACAATGCTATACCCATATATATAACTAGGAACATGATGACTTGGATACGGCTTGGAATGGCTTTTTCTGAAATAGAGTAGACAAATCCTACCTAGCTAGTGAAATCGATGCAGAAAAGAATTTACTGAGCTCCGCATGTTTGCTTGCGAAAATGAATCATCTAATTATTCAAGTGTGGACAAAATAGTATGAAGATCCTTAGCCACATGCACCACTTGAAATCGCGTTAGTCATCGAATTAAGCGAACAGTATTCGGTCGTCCTATCGTGCTCTAAAACCGTCATCGCGCAACGCCTACTTAAAAGAAGCAAAGAACCAACAGAGTGCTCCTACAAGAAGATACAATTTTAATCGTTTTGAAGAAGTAACAGCTACATGTGGCTCATATGGTTCTGGAGTGAGAAAATGGGGTACTATGAAGCACAGTTCTGATGAGAAAAGAGGTATAAGGAAAATTTTCTTAAGCGTGATATGCACAGATTCACCACAATGAAACCGTTTTTCCAAAACCCGCAGAGTAATCCGAAAAACTTCGTAACGTAGTTGCACGACCGATATCTTTGTTATTTCTGGCGCCAGGTAGGGTCCCTTCGCTGATGAACTCTATAACCGAAGCAACTACACGAACTTCTTCCTGCACTGCACTTAGCATCTACCTATCTGTAGTGGTAAGCTGTAGTCCGAATACGAATAGCGTTATCTTGAGAAAATCTGCGGTCAAATGGAATCGAATCGAATAACCTTCAAAAGTTTGGTATTGATAAGTTAACTCCCTTTGAAAAAAAAACATTTTTAGTCATTATTTTCGTCAAATCGTTAGGGATGAAGAGATGTTAGTGCATGAAGACGTTACTTTATTTGGTAATCATCTGAAACCTCGCCTCTATGTAAAAATTGACTAGTCACAGAAAAAAAATTCACTAATGCCAGTTTAATAATTAGCCAATAAAGGCGGTTGCTGGACAAAGAAAAACCTTGACGTGCTTCATACAGTTGACGTTAGATTTTATCGGCAGACTAAGCAATCGGTAATCTCACCAAAATAGTATAACATGTACATATTGGCAAATGACCAGTTTAAATGTGTCAATCTCTTGAGATTCCATACATCACAACATCATCATCCTATGGAGAATCGTTCATAAGTCGATTCACAGATTTTTTTTCTCAAAGCATTTTGTACACTGTGCTCATGGTCCATACTGCCGATACTATTGGCATAGTATTAGCTTCTTCAGGCGCACTTCTAAAAATATATACTCAAATGCTATCACTCTTATGAAGACCCATTAAAGCAAATAGTCGGCTCAAAAACAATGCAGATCAAACTAGAAACAAAAAGTAAACAAGAAGAAAGAATACACAATCGATTAGAATGTGATCGAAAGCAATGAAATAAAGAAAAACAACAAATGTTCACCTGCGCAACATGGAATGACACAAAATGCTAAGACAACGGAGGAGTATATTAGGAGTTTTATAGGATGGCAGTTTGTGAATTTATTCTTCTTCACTAGGCAAAATTTCGGAGGTGAAACAAGTCGATCAAATATTGTGAATAATATGAGTATATTATCCGAGCGTCATGAATATTACGGACATACAATGTGTCGTAGAGTCAAAAGCTCATTATAGGAAGGAATTCTTTTAATACGAGATAGTAACTATTAACATAGATTGACGTTCAACACTGAGATTATCAAAAAAAACTCTGGCAAATATATGTGTATACAAATAGTTGTAAATTCCTCATGTGTTTGTAGGAAAGGTTGCTTTAGGCTCACGCAATGTAGTGAACACCGCCAGACTAGGTCTGAGCATTATTGTGAATACATATTTGCAAAGTAATGCTGAGATTAAACTCCTCAAAGCCAAGAAAAAAAAACTATTAAGGGTTTTCCAGATACAAAAAAAATTCCACACTGTGCTGCACTTTTCCAAGGAAACAAATATGAAGAAAAGGAAGCAGGGAAGCAGGGACAACTTCTTCTAGAACTTCACCAAGGCTTTCAATAGCAATTAGGTAGAAGGTTGCATAGAAGGCGTTCGTTGGCGTTTCGTTACGAGTTTCCGTTCTGGTGGATCTGTACTGCATTCGGTCAACGTTTCTTCACTTACTGATCGGTCACGGGAGCCGCATTCGGCGAGTTCCTGATCATTGAACTAATAGATCTGATCACTGTATTACCCAAACATATTAGTACAATAAATGAAACACGCAAACCTTAAAAGTCGTCTTAAAATTGAATTGCAAACTTGAATTTGAATACCAAGAATATTCTGAGCTAAGTAAGGTTGAAAGCTGTGGACCGTAGAACCCTGTGTACGCAAACATGAATTTAAGCGATGGAGGTATAAATTATCCATGTGATAAGAATCTTCCCTCATTAGTGAAGTCATACGCAATCATATATACATTTATTCTTTTTTAAACAGATTCCTGTAATCAAGACAGCACAAATTTTTATACGGCTGCGAAGAAAACACCCTTCAGCAGAAGAAACAACAAGAAGTCTGATAGAAAACGAGGAAAAAGGTAAACATTATTTATAAATCACACTGCTCCAGACATTTCTAACTGAAATCCTTTTCCATTTCACCGAGGACGGGGATAGCACAGCCGTTGGTAATGTCATCGATCAGGAAGCAGAGGCGCTAGTTCGATCCTCGCCCTAACAATGACCTCTAATCCACGTGGGAACGCCTCAGCCAAACTATCTCCAAGATTACAAGGAAAATTGACTCATCAGCATTCCACGAAATTCATAAGAAAGATTAAATCCTCAAGCAGTAGCTGAAACGACACGCGAATTGTTGGAAGACACTGAGGACGGCGAATGCGAGGAAACGAATCGAATGCAAGAAGTGCTCGAATCCGCACACTAAATGTGATGGCGGGTCTTGTAAAAAAATGGGAAAAAAATTCGCCTCACTTATCCATTCACTAAAATATCGAAACACCATTTTCAGTGTATTTGATAGATCTAGGAGAATAAGCACTATGTCGAATGAACAGCTGATATTAATGGATGTTGTACGATTTAATATATTTGCTAACCAACCTTATAGTGGTACAACTGCTGTTTTACCGTATTTAGTTCCGATTGCTGATCTTGCACTACTTGCATCAATGCTTTTAAATGATTCATCAGAGGTGCAGCGATAGCAGTAAGCTAAATCATCCAGCTGTTACGACTGAAATCCAGTTTTCAAATTTACAAGAAACGAAGAACTTGCCATGATTTTTTCGTGTGAGTAATCTATTCATAGTGTTCACGCAGTAACAGAATACAAAATTGTACAGTTAATATGTACCTTATAACAAGGCACGGATGGAAGATCTTTTTCCGTGTCATCAAGTAACATCATGGAAGCTCCAGGATTCGCCTCATTGACTTCTTTTCTAGCATTCATTCCTGTGAACACAATGAATCTGTGGAAATTTCATGTGTAAGCTATGAATATGTAAAACACGTAGATATATCGTAGATATCACATACTATATCGAGCTTAGTATGTTTGGTAATGCGTCTTAAATAGAAATCAACAATTTTTTCAATTGTGTGGTTGTGACTGCCGACGGCACAGATCTGTAGAACCAACTGAGAGAGAGACAGGCGAAACGAAGGACCCGCATGGTGTGCTGGTGAAAGCGTTACTCCCCGGAAAGGACAATAGCAAAGTGTTCGGTCTCCACCGCAGACAGAGTTTTGCCAATAACTCAGCGTCATCTTAGTTTCACATGTTGCTCTACCGTTAAAAATTTTAGTAGGCAGTAAATAAAAAGGTTAAGATTGTGATTTCGCCTTCAGCCTCAGCATAACTAGGTTCGTTGCCGATTTGGGCTCCCTAGATCAGTCCCTTTGACGGGTGATTTCTGATAACGCCGATCAATAGAACTAACTGAGAGACAGACGAAACGAAGGACCCGAATGGTGTGGTGGTGAACGCGTTACTCCCTGGAAAGGATAAAAGCGCGTTCTTCTTCGTATTTTTGTTGAGCAAACGCGAGGTGTTACTATTCCTTGTTCACGATTAAGCTGACGTTTCGGCGAATTTGGCCTTCCTCAGAGCAGCTTTCTATGAGGTTTCCACTAAGTATGTCACGTAGAGACCAACCGCACAGAAATCAGGTGGAAGTATAATGTGTCGGACATTATGTTCTACGTGGACACATTATACTTCCACGTGATTTCTGTGCGGTTGGTCTCTGCGTGACATACTTAGTGGAAACCTCATAGAAAGCTGCTCTGAGGAAGGCCAAATTCGCCGAAACGTCAGCTTAATCGTGAACAAAGAATAGTAACACCTCGCGTTTGCTCAACAAAAATACAAAGAAAATCACTTGATCAATGCCGAGGTTAATAGAAAGTCGGTCGTGGCAGTTAAAAGCGCGTTCGTTCCCCACCGCAGATACCTGCTATCCGGAGTTTTGAAAATATCTCAGCAATACTGTGGCCGAATTTTTTCAATTGTCAGAAACTACATCCGAGAAAAACCAAAATGCTTTGACTAAAAAGATTTGAGATATGAACAAAATTTGAAATCCTCCGCGGACGTCGAACCAACGATTACCCCTTCTGGAGTCCCACTTGCTGGGGATCACACAGGTAATAGCTGATAACATCGTTAGAAGGAAAAGTGACTAAAAGAAAGGAAAACTAAGGACTTCAGTTGGTATGGTCGATAGCACATGATGAGCCCTTGGAAACCGTAATCACGAGTTCGAAGCCTAACTGGTTCCGAGTTTTACTAATGTTTCAGGATTCTTGTGGCTGTACTTCATTCAACACGTTCCCATGAAAAAATAATGGGCAGTAAAAAAAAGTTGAAACATTCCTCAAACTATAGCGCTTCTATAAACGGCATATTATGAAAAATTGGATACTGAAATGTGAGGGGATGTATGGTACGCAATTAAGTGCAGCACATGTTCAATGACCGGTATGTAACTACGTGTTCCCAAGTGGAACAGGAATTTGATGCCACTACTTTGCAAAATCCGTTAAGAAGATAAACTTTAGATAATGTTACTAATCATATAAGGTCCTGATGGCAAAGATCGATAGAACTAGCTGAGAGACAGGCGAAACGAAGGACCTGCATGGTGTGGTGGTGAACGCGTTACCCCCCGGAAAGGACAATAGTGCGTTCGTTCCTCACCGCAGACACCTGCGGTCTGGACTTTTGCAAATATCTCAGCATCATTTAAGTTATACCTCAAAAGACCGAATTTCTATAAACTTCGACATAGATAGTTGATATATTTATTCATATGATCTTATAAACTGATCTTCTTAAGCTGACGCGAGGTTAGTACAGGTCTTCGTTGTCGTTGTCGTTGTTGTTGGTGTTGGCCGATGGCTGACGTTTTGGCGATTTCGAATTCCTCAAAGCCGTGATGTTACGAGTGTTTTCATCAACGCGCAAAACTCTATGGGCGTTCTGGATAAATTTCAAAAAACCAAAGACGAACTAGAAAGAAGAATGCCTCGCTATCACACGTGACTTGGCGTCCTATTTCAAAATGATATTTTGACCTCTTGGTGTGCCTCGCTCGCGACCCCACGTGAACAACGCGTGGGCCAGTCCCACTCGTAACACCACGGTGAGTAGCCTTTCCGTTCAATATGGCGTCTGTTTAAAAGTTTGATCCTTTTTTCACCGAATAACTAAAGCATTCTTGTATAAAATACGTCCATGTTCTGAGGAAGGCGAAATCGCCGAAACGTCAATCATCAACCAATAACACCAACAGCAACGACAACGACAACGAAGACCTTTACCAACCTCGTATCAGCTAAAGAAGATCAGTTTATAAGATCATGTAAACAGATATATTAGAGTTATATTTCGCAATATACCCTGCCAAAAAGAGTAGGAAGTAAGTAATAAGATAAAATTATTAATCATATAAAGTGTTTTGAGTAGGCTCTGATCTATTTATTCGATGAATCACCATAGTTTCCAGTGGAAAGTGTAAGGAAAACGTACATATTATATTAATATACCAACCTTGATTAATACTATCGAGTAGCCGGTTTCCATGTACAATCGCAGACATCGCTAGTTCTTTACAGTCACGTTGCTTCAGATCTGCTACTGACAAGCTTCCCAATAATTCAGTGAGCTTTTCTAATTCTTCTGTTCGACCTCTCTATAACCCATAAACAACGTCTTTTTCCAAGTATCGCTAACTAGTAGATAGAATACCTTATCACCAGGTAAAAATTGCGCCAATATGGTTTGCTTCGTAAGCAGAGCTTGAAAAATGATATCGTCACTTCGCCTTAACCTTTCTGTTGGTGTGAGTACAGGCTGTGCATGTTCCAATACTGTTGGCTGCTGTACGGTAATCTCAGAAGCGTTTACAAGACGAGGGTGGGTGAGCACATGAACCTAAGACAGCACTGTTTCGTCCAAGGTAAATTTTCCCAAACAGTAACTGAGTATTACCTTAGCTAAACCTTCCGAATCCAACGATGAACTTGTGCCAACTTCGAAATTGCATGTTCTAAAGAATACCCTCATCAAGCCAACGATAACAGCAAAAACACTGGAAGCTCTCTACAGTTAAGGCCCTTTTAGGAAAATCAATTTGTTGAATAATCAGCTAATTACTAAACATCAAGCTAGTGCAATCCATAAAAAGATGTTTAACAAAATTCGAAATCGTAATTTTACTGTAATAATAATATTCTGCACGCTACAAGTTCTCTCTTTTGATAAGATTCTACAGCGTTTAAATGAATTTTGATTTCGAAGAAAAATGACTTACTGAACTCCTTGAGTCTGATGTTTTCTGTCATTGTCGATTTGATCGGATATCAATTTAAACCACCTGAAAAAAAACATTATACACAAATGCCGCGGTTCTCCCTCATATGAGGGATCTAGAGCCGGTTAGTCGCGAGGCTACGTGGTGCGTCCCCAAGTGGCGGAAAAGGGGTTATCGCGGACTAAAAGAGACCTTTGCTTCCCTAAGACGCAGGTGGATCCAGCGGATGAACTCGCTGTTTCTGCTGCTCCTATTTGCCGCATACTTTCCGCATTTACGAGGTGTATTCATGTACGCGTGTGTGGGTGCGTTCTAGTTTATGCACATTGTATTCTACGAGTTAAGTCGGCCAAAAGCCTGCAATCAAGTGACTGGGAAGTATAGGCGGTTAGGAGTCGCCTCCAACAAATAAGCTCCATGTCCACTCTAGGAGAGACTGGCAAGCTACCGGCGAGTACACCTAGTCCCCATGTTCAGAGCCCAGCAAACTATACGTGGGTATCAAAAGTGCTAAGCACAGGAAAAAAACGAGCGTCATTCCCCTGAGCCCGAAAGAGCCTACAATTTTGCAGCGTTGGGTAGGACAAGCAGGGAGAGGCTGCTAAAATCTCAGGGCCAATCGAAGCTGCCTGCATTACAAAGAATTAAGATGACGATCTGTACCTACAATTCGCGTACACTTGCATCCAAGTCCTCGATTGCTTGTGCAAGCAAGAAAGACGAAGTACGACGTCATCGGCCTGGCTGAGACGAGAAGACGCCAGCCTTTCAACGCCGTCTACGACACCGGAGAAGAATTGTTCCTCGGAACATGTGACAGTAGAGGAGTAGGCGGCGTCGGCGTTCTCGTCAACACGAGTTTGTTCATGCACATTGACCCATTCGAACAACTTACAGCCCGAATCGGACGATTACGATTAAAATGACGTGGATCAATTCCGGCTTTGACAACCTTCGTCGCTCACGCGCCGACATCAAACTATGACGGAGAAGAAATCGAAGCCTTCTATATGGACTTGGAGAAGTTCTACAGAGAAGACCACACATTCCTCAAGGTCATCATTGAAAATTCCAACGCCAACATCGGACCAAGAAGAACGCATGAAGGACGTCACATTGGGAGGCACGGATTAGAATGGAACGAAAAGGGTGAGAGGCTATCTGAGTTTATCACGGAGACCAAGACAATCCATAGTAACTCGCAATTCCAGAAGCCCCACCCTCAACGCTAGACGTGGGAGTCTTCCAGTTGAGAGTACCATAACGAAATAGACCACGTCGTAGTAAACAGAAGGTTTTGCCTAACCGATGTCGCTGTTGTCCCAAAATTCTATACGGGATCAGACCGTCGTCTCCTTCGAGCAAGATTCTATTTCTAGCGGAAAGGAGAAAAACCCGCTAAATTCAAAGACCGAAGTCCCAGAACCACCGTAAACTGGGGTTTATTCAATTCATTAGTTGGCTGTTGCGAAGAAGACGAAGAATACGATCGGCTCATTCAGCATCTTCATGTTAGCAATATGAAAGCTGAGAGTTCGAAAGTCACCAAGAGACGTCTGTGTCCAGAAAACTCGAGCTGATGCGTCAGCTTCGCATCGCACGAGTTGCAGGCAATCGCGAATGAACGTCCGAACTTGCAAAGCAATGCAGAGAGGGGTTAAAAGAAGACCTTAGAGAGTAAAAAGCAGCATTAGTGGCCGAAGCTGCAGAGGCTGGAAAAAGCATTCGCAAAGCCCACCGAAACATCGCCAATTACAAGACCAAAATGATTGCACTCCGGCGCCCAGACGGAACAGTTACAGTTTCCAGAAAGACAATGGAGAAAATCATCCATGAATACTACTCGCATCTCTTCGATAGCCATAACCACCTTCCGACCTATGAAATAAAGGAGGATGGATATGTTGTACCACCGGTTCTCCCTTCCGAAATCCGACATGCCATTTCGTCGGTGAAAAATCGAATAGCACCAGGTCCGGAGAGGATAAGTCCAGAACACCTGACGAATCATCCGCCAATCCTCTTAAAACACACTGGCTCGGCTCTTCACACGTTACCTGCCTGAATGCAGTGTCCTTATTCACTGGAAGACTAGCAAGACCGTGTTATTGTTCAAGAAGGGTGACCTACGCGACATAGGCAACTATTGGCCAATGTGCTTGTTGTCTGTCGTTTACAAACTTTTCACTCGAATCATCTTAAACAGGATTGACAGAATATTGGATGAAGGACGGCCATGTGAGCAAACAGGGTTTCGAAAAGTATTTAGTACGATGGACCACATCCACACGATAACAAGACTCATTGAAGTATTGCGAGAGTACAAAAACTGCTCTATCTCACTTTCATCGATTTACAGAAGGCCTTTGATTCAGTTATGATAAAAGCAGTCTTGGAAGCCCTTGATAGTACAGGAATCTGTACTCAGAACATAAAGATTCTTTGTGAGCTGTACAAAAATTTCACAACCAAGATATCACCATTCTACAACGATACTAGCATTGACGTCAAATGAGAGGGTTAGGCAAGGCGATGCCATCTCGCCAAAATTATTCATCGCGACCCTCTAGAACGTTATGCGAACATTGGAATGGGATAATATGGGAGTAAAAATCAACGGTCGGGAATTACAGCGTCTTCGTTTTCTGATGACATCGTCTTTATAACGCCAAACATTAACCAAGCGGAAAGAATGCTTGTCGATTTTGATAAACCTGTGGAAAGACTGGTCTTCAACTTTATTTCACAAAAACGTTGTTCATGAAGAACAGATTGGCTTCGTGTGTCCCATTCGCGCTCAATGGAGCGAATATCTCCGAATGTTCCAGTTCCTAGGTCGGGAATTCAATATGATGAACAATTTAGCTCCAGAGTTGAGCAGATGGAAAAGAGCGCCTTGGGGAGCTTTCAAGAGCATCGAGGATGTAGTGAAGAGAACAAAGAACACCAGACTACGTGCCCGTCTTTTTGACTCTACGGTACTTCCTGCGTTAACGTATGCGTCAGAACCCTAGTCGCTGCGTAAGCAAAATGAAACGTCACTCAGCGTTATCGAACGCACAGTTGAAAGGACGATGCTAGGAGTATCCAATCCCACACAAGGATGGGATCCAAAGCTCCGATCTGCGTCAACGATCAAAAATGAAAGATGCCGTTCTGTAAGCCAAACAGTGAAAAATAATGTGAGCCGGACAAGTAATGCGTATGAATGACAACCGATGGACAAGGGCCGTTAGTGACTGGATTCTTCGGGAGGTCAAACGCACTGCAGGAAGACCACTGACCCGATGGTCAAAGTTCTTCGCAAAGAGCCTTGAAGAAAGATATGATGCTCGACGAGTTTCTAGAGCGAGAAGAAGCCACTGGGCAACTCTTGCACGCGAAAAGGAAAGATGGAAGGTTTACTGGCACCCGCTCGAGCCACTCGACTATCAACGGGACTACAGGTGACACAGATGATACAAAAATGTAGACTAATCTCTACCTCAAACAGAACGCTTTCTATCTATTCATACTACCGTATGCTTCCTATGTCACTTTCGTAGTTGATGTTGTCGATTTCGCAGCTTCTAGGGGTTTACACACAACGGTACGAAGGAAATGCTCCTACGCCAACTACGTATCCCTAATCTCTTGCGCTGAAACTTCACGCTGGGCCATTTTTCTTCCTGCACCATTCATTTCAATTAAGCAGTTATCATGCATCAAAAAGAACAGTAAGCTTCTACATTTTTATATGCAACCAGATAATCACCCACGTCTTCCTTTCGGTTGCTGTCCCGGCGACGAGTTCGTAAATTTGAGCACCATATTGGGTGTTGAAGACAAGGAAAAATGCGCGCTTGTCATTAGCTTTCTCTTTAGCGATTAACGGAGCCAATGGCATAATAGGAGACCATTTTGTCTCCTTTGACGGTTCCAAAGTCTACAAATAGAATAGCAAACTCTTCTCTATACCACAAGTAATAGACTACGACAAACCGTCAATATTTACAATAATACCTTTAGCTGCAACTTGTTACCATCGCTATGTTTTGTTAGAAATACCAGCATGTTTTCTAGCAGAACCACATGTAGTTCAATCATTTTTCCACGATTAAATCGGCACGTTAAAGAACCGTCGTGCACAAGCCGATATCTAAAGAAGTTTTCACTAGATCAGCTTTGTTTAACTGGCTAACTAACTAACTAACGCGTTTCGTAAAGCTATTCCACTCCCTTCAAAAACCGCATTTCTAATTGCTGCTGCAACTTTGAAATAAAAATAGCATCACAAATAATGCACTTCGTTAGATTCAGGTGAGCGTAGTCATGGCCTCCATACTCCTTGTCAAATGCAGTAGTGTCCAACCGCCGCTGCAGCTCTTCTAGGCGACGGAGATTCTCCGCGTTCCGCTTTGCCGAATTCACAGCACTCAAAATGCGTTTAGCCGACACCACTGTACGTAAAAGACGATCTTGTTCCTGGAACCGCATAAATTTTGCACATATAACTAGCATCGAATATTTGCGCTGCATGTCTTCCATCTCCATACCGGACTAATTTCCAACGGATAAAAAAAATGCACGACCGTTTTTCACAATATTAACTACAACATATTCCAGTTCAGATCATATTCACATTAGAGATCAGAGAAACAATTTTTTCACTTCAACTCTACAAAAAAACCTACTAACTAAAACTTTGCGCAAATGAATTCATCTCGATAATTTCTCTTTTTGAAAATAGAAAAAAAGTTTGTCATAACAGCAATGGTAAATGTGCTGCTTGAAGTACCATACAAACCTCGCTTGGTTCGTTCGTATATTTGGCAATTGTTTCCAGAAGAAGCGGATACTTCACCAGTCGTTGCATTTCAACAGGGATCATATCTTTCAGTTGCAATTTCCGACATAAAGCATTTGCTTCAGCGTCTGAGAGAAATCGCACTAACGATTCTTCTTTATCCTTTTTGCATCTTAAATAATTCAGTCATTAATAGCTGATCTTTTGCTAATTCGCTTTTTTTCCCTTGCTAATATGTTGCTTAAAAAATAAACAACGAAACTCCAACAACAGTGCTGTTTTCCAAATTAAGAAGTTCAATTCGCTAGAGGAATGATAGGCAGCTTACGCAACCAGCAACTTTCAAGACCTCATAGTAAAGTCGAATATGTGAATTCCAATGGTACTTTCTAAGGACTACACCTAAGCCTGTTGGAGTTATTCTTTAAATTCTATTTGGGTATTTTCCTAACAAAGGTAACAGTAAAACGCTAAAGGTTTCGGCGTTGGTCAACCCCTGAGGGATCCGTCAAACCCTCGGCAACATCAGGCATGGTCTGAGGTGAACGAATAAATATCTCGTCCATACAATTACTTGCTGTAGTCTACCGATGTATCAAAGAGGCACCAATTGGCCAAATTCGGAGGAATGAAAGGGTTGGTGAGTGAGCCAGTGTGCGGAATCGAACCAACGGCAACGTGCTTTTCAGAGCACCTCTAACCACGGCGCCTCAAGTGCAACTGTACGTTCAAACAGTGACACAAGATAAGGAGAAAGCGTTTAAAGTTTACAAATCCCTTAATCGTGCGCCATGTATTTGACAGCATTTGGAACAACCATAGATATGATTGAATACTTATCTCGTCTGTATAAACTTGGACTGTATCACATCAGCGTTTTTTTTTCACTATACGGGCTAATTATCTTGAAATAAAAATGGAAGATAAGGCTCTCGGCACTGATCAATCCCTGAGAGATGCGCCATGCATTCGACTTCATTAAGTAACGTTGGAGGTGATCGAATGCATATCTGGCCTTTACAATGACTTGCGGTGGCCTACCGATGTATCGAGTCAGTACTGCTATCCTCCCAAATAAGTCTTGTACCATTTTACCGACCTCAGAGGGATGGAAGGCTTGGTGAGCCATGAACGCTAAGATTGATCCCACAGGATTTGCAAGGTAACACCGAGCGCTGCGCCACACGCGCCCCGCTATCTTGAAATAATTGCACCAATAGCATTGTACTCTGACACTTAGGTGCATAATGAGACAAAACGAACCTTGCTCGCAGGATCTCCAGCGCATGTTGTTGATGCTGGCAGAATGTTGAAGTCACTTCCATAAATTTTTCACCAGCTTCACCGTCGAACATCTTTTCCAATAATTCACCTACATTTCCATAAAGTCCATTGAGAGTGGGATCTCGTCGCCACTGCAATCGTCCTATTATTGATGAACTAGACCTCGTTTTTCTACCATTCATCACTGTTCGCTGTGAAATAACTAAAGGACAAAAACCTTGCATTTTCATGCAAGTCATCCAACTTAAAATATGGCGAACATCTCGTTCGTAATTTTGTAACGGTACCACATCTCGCGAAGGAAAGCCTTCTTGGTCATTTAATCGTCTGTGCCACGAAAAATACAGTAATTGAAATATAACTTCTATAATGCTAAGATGTTTTCAAAACTCCGGACCGCAGGTGTCTGCGGTGGAGAACGAACGCGTTGTTGTCCTTTCCGGGGGAGTAAGCGTTCACTACCACACCATGCGAATCATTCGTTTTGCCTGTCTCTCAGCTAGTTCTATCAATTTCTGCCATCAGTAATCACCCGTCAGTAGGATTGATCTGGGGCGCCCAAATCGGCATAGAACCCAGTTAAGCTGAGGCTATAATTATAATCGAAATAGGCCGTAAATAAAAAGGTTAAGACAGTAATTGAATTATGTAGTTAAAATACGTAATAGTTGTAAAAAACTGTTGAAGCCACGCAAACGACTATGATAAATATGTACCTGTTCAACAGCTTGGCGCATTTGGTTTGACATGTCAGTGTGAATCTCGAGAAGTTGGTCGAGATTTGCGAACAGCAAATGCACGACTTCCGGAGACACAACGTTATTCACCAACATGGGCTTGTAAAATACTCGTAAAAGAATCTTCAAATTCCGCACATGTGTACGTTCGGTATGAAACAGCTCTGAAAGAAACCATGAAAAAGTTCTTATTTTCACTGCATCATTAAAAGTACGTGAAATCAAAACTATGGTTGTGAGCGCTACAGCAACCATGTGTCAAAAACATCCATCACTTTTCTTTGTTTGAGTTATGCATAGGTAGAGTATCAATGTGGAAAATACCGTTAATAACTTCTTGTCGTTTCTTCTCTTTCGGCTTCAAGTGACGTATTACATCCCAGCCGACGAACTGATCCAGAGGGGGTGCTTCGGTCTCTAGCTCTAGATCACTGTCATCTTCCGAAATCGCAGAAGCTTGCATTCGTTCCATCGCCCGTTTCGCCTTAAGTTAATTAATCCTATTTTTAAAAGCATCAGTATTTTATTTTCAGAAAGTGTCTTATTACCACTGAAGTGCTGTTATTAAACAAGTAGCATTATTATAAGTGTTACTAAAGTATTACTACTTCTCTGCCTGATTACGGAGATATCGGGTTAGGTAGATTGCAGTCAACTTGACCTTTCCATGTTCTGAAGAACGGAAGATCCTCCGCGCTTTTCATTCCTACCTCCGTATCTGATTTAGTTTATAACGTCGTCTCTGAATCAACAAGTAGGAAGACCGAGCGAAGGAATCGTTGCCGAAAGGATACTTCTCTCAGATCCACATCGTGGTGAAGAATTGGATATGCCATTACAAGGTTAACTAAGCACTCCAGGAAAGGACTAAATTGCTCAATTATCAATTTGTCACCCTCAGCACCACAGACAGTGGGTGCTCCAGTCTACGACGTCAAGCGGTGAGAGCACAGGTGAGAGGCCACAGAATCTCAGATTACGCAAGACGTCACTGGAACCGAATCTGGCAAACACACGCACGGCACACCATGGAGATTGTTTCTTATTCTGCGCATATAATACTAAAACCCTCTCCACAGATGCCGATCTTCACGCAGTTCTTGAAGCCGCAGATCGTATCAAGTGTTATGTGGTGGCATTTAAACAAACAAAAATCAGGAAAACCTACACACGCCAACTAAACAACAGGATCCTCGTCATCTGCGGAAGAAAGGTCCTGTGACTAAATATCGGTGGCGTACGCTCTGCCGCCTACCCGTCCATTTTCAATTTCGTAGACTCACATGAGATCCTTTCCCCTGGGATAGCCAACCACCGTCCCCAACTCGCATTATGAAAAGATCACTATCATCAACTGTTACTCCCCGACTGAAGCAGCTGTTGAGTACGAACTAAATGCGTTCTACTATCAGTTGGAGGAAGTCATCCGCAGTGATAAAGCATATCATAAATTTCTTGCCGGAGACTTCAACGCAGAAATGGGAAAGGCCAACGGAAGCGAACACAAGATCGAAAATTTTGGATCAGGAGAAAGAAATGAGAATGGAAATCGTTTCGCAGGACACCTGTCTGCAGCACGTCTCCTCCATGGAAACTCGATTTTCCAGATGAAAGCCGCCGTTGGACATAGGAGTCTCCTAACGGCATAACTCATGCGGACACCGACCACATTCTGAGAAAAAGTCTAGCTAACCTTTCGAGAACATTTTGAACGCAATCCTATCCAAACCAGCAGATTAAGCAAGACCTAACATGTCGATATAATCGTGGAAAAATGATTAAACTGCACGTGGTGCTGTTGGAAAACATGCTGGTTTTTCTTGTAGTAACTCCCAAGTCCGACTTTCTATTAACCTCGGCATTGATTGAATATATCTTTCCACTTCTGTTCAGCAAACACGAGGTGCTATTTCATTTCTTTATTTACGCACAAGCTGACGTTTCGGCGGATTTCGCCTTCCTCAGAGCCTGGAAAGGTCAAGTTGACAGCAATCCATTCAGCCAAACACCTCCATAACCAAACAGAGAATGGAATGAATTGGATTGGCCGAATAGATTGCTGTCAAGTTGACCCTTCCAGGCTCTGAGGAAGGCGAAATCCGCCGAAACGTCAGTTTGTGCGTAAATAAAGAAATAAAATAGCACCTCGTGTTTGCTGAACAGAAGTAGAAAGACATACTGGTTTTCCTCAAAAAGAAGAGCGATGGTAACAAGTTGCAATTAAAGGTATTATTGTAAATATTGACGGTTTGGTGTAGTCTATTCTTTGTAGCATAGAGAATGTTTTTTGTAGATTTTGGAACCTTTAAAAGAGACGAAATGGTCTCCTATTATGACGATGGGCCGAAGACTATGAGCTGCTTGCCGAAGAACTGAAAAGTTGTGCCGAGTTCGATTCAGTTTCTCAAGCAAAAACATCACATTGCATCTCTAAGCACAGCATCTCCATTTGCACTATAAAGGAAAAAAACTAAAGCTTGATCTTACTACACGTTCAACATGGCTAAATAAATGCTAGCTGCAGAGGGACTTCACAGAAAGACCTACGTCGATACGGACTAAAGAAACTACCAGAAGCAGAAGTGGAAGAAGACCCAATCTGGAAAAATGTTGTCGAAACTTGCACGACTAACAATGTTCAGTCCTGACAAACGTAGATGGGACTACCAAAATTTCCGCTATGATATGAAATTGATAATGGAAACCTTCTACACCAATCTTTTCCACACTACAATCCCCGTCTCGGACCCTAAAATCCCCACACAGATCCAGAACCCGGTGATATGACCGCCAACTTCCTTAGAGCTGGAAGCCACAATTCACATGTACTTCTCGCAAACCATATGACAGTCTATTCTCAACAGGATAAAATTCCGGACCACTGGAGTGGAGAAAATCGCGCATGGTCATCCTGTCCGAGAAGGGTTGCCGAAGGGATTCGTAACTATCGTCCGATATGCTTGTTGAGTGTACTCTAGAAGCACTTCCCGAAGGTTATCCTTTCGCGCATATCTACGGCATTGGTTGAGGCGCAATCAGTTAAGCGAGCACGATCCCGACATGAATTCTGCTGCATGGACCACATCCAAACTGTGCCCACAGTCACTGATGTTTGTCGGGAATACCAACTGCCTATAGCTCTAACTTTTGTCGACTATGAAAAAGCGTTTCACAACAGCGAAACGAGTGCAATTCTATCAGCGCTCGTCAACCAAGGAGTGGACCCGACCCTCGGAAAAATGCTGTCTCTCTGTTATCGGAACTGCACTACGAAAATACAACTTCTCCATCGACCCCTTACCATACCGAAAGGAAAAAGGGATCAACGGAGCGATTCAATATCGCCGAAGCTGTTTAGTGCCGCTCTGCGGTGGATATGAAGTCAATCGATAGCGATGAGAATGGCATGCGTATTGATGGAAAATTCCTATCAAACCATCGTTACGCTGACGTTGTTTTCTTAAGAAGTACCAACAAAGAAGAGACGACAATCAATGAGTTCAATGAGCTCAACAAAGCGGTAAAAAAGATCAGACTACGCATAAGTCGTAAGAAGAACCAATTCATGAAAAACTCATGGTCCGAAGGCGAACAAGTCGAAATGGATGGTTCGCTGGTTACACAGCCCGCATCGTAATTATACACTACGCGTTTAATAAGCATGGGAAGCAACATGAAAGAGAAATTACACAGAAGAAGGAGAGCAGCTTGGGCCTAGTTCGGACCTCTCAAAGAAGCCACCAACCAATTGAAGGGCATGAAAATCTGCGTTCACCATTTCGATTCAACAGTTCTCCGAGCGCTCTATTAAGCTGCAGAAACGTGGGCTGATATTTCTTCAACCACGTCAAGAATACTGCGTACTACTCACAAAGCGCATAACCGAGGTCTTCTGAAATATAATCGGCACACTCAATATCTACCAGGAATGCGAAGCTCCGATCTTCGAAATCTATCCCAAAATTGGGATCCAGGAGAATAAACATCGACAACGAAACATAGATGGGCCGGTCGCATAATGCGAAAAACAGAGAAGATGGGCGAAAGAGCTGCAGAGTGGACCCCACAAGAATGCAGGCGTCTCCTAGGACTGCCAACAACTTTGAGCGCACGTGTTCGTAGCCAAAGCTAATCAGCTGTACACGCAGCTGCAGTTATTCTTCAGATTACGGTATGAGATTTGCACCGGCCACCACGCTCGAATAAAACCACCATCATGGACGAAGATTGCGAGGGAAAGAAATGAACGACAAATGTGTTGATGTCCACACAACTTGTAAGTACGAATCGCTCAAGTATCCCAGTAAGCATTATTATTTTAAAAAATTACCAACCTCGTCATCAATTTGTGACATGCTAGTTGAACTTCCACTATTACTCTGCAAGTCTAATGCCATACGGCACCCCTCTAGGGACCTAGAACAACAAATTATATTTTTAGCTTCGAATTTTATTTACCACCTACTGTACAGGGAACAATCTTAATGAACATTGGAATGTTCTCCATGTCAAACATTTCGAACACTTTCAATGACGCTGAGATATTTGCAAAACTCCGAACCGCAGGTGTCTGTGGTGGAGAACGAACGCACTATTGTCCTTTCCTGGGAGTAACACGTTCACCAACACACCATGCAGGTCCTTCGTTTCGCCTGTCTCTCAGCTAGTTCAATCCATCTTTTGCCATCAGCAATCACCCGTCAACGGTATTGATCTGGAGAGCCCAAATCGGCAACGAACCCAGTTAAGTTGAGGCTGCAGGTATAATCGCAATCACGAAAAACGAAGGACCCGCATGGTGTGGTGGTGAACGCATTACTCCCCAAAAAAGGCAATAGCGCGTTCGTTTCCCAGCGCAAATACCTGCGGTCTCATCATCATTGAATGTTATATTTCGCAATATACTGTGCCGTTAAAAAGAATAGGCAATAAATAATAAGTTAAAATTTCGAATACTGTTTCCGGTGACCTTATTCCCACGACGATCTGATAACCTTATGTCAAACATTTCGTAGGCGGTTATCTCATGGAAAATATCTGCAGTTACAGTCCTCTGCTTTGACTATCGCCTTATCAGATTACAATGCTTGAGAAATGTTTCCAATACACTTTAGTGGTAAATCGTCTCTCGGCCTTCGGTAGCCTGACTTCGCCCAGCATAAATGGTATATAAACGGCTCCACGGTTAGCTCGCTCAATTCACATCAATGCCGCCTAAGTCACCATGTCTTTTCTTCACATTCATCTCATGTAATAGAAGTTATATTACAACCTCTTCACTCATAAGCAACCTGAACAGCAATGATCAGGCTGCGTCTATTCATTACTTGTATCATTGTTGTATTAATTGTACAGTTGTATTGTTATGCCATAACTGTCGTATAATTATGATAAACGGTTTGATTACCCAAGTCTGAGGTGACCGGCATTGTGACTACTAATCACAAGAAGTCCAACATGGCACAAACAAAGGCGAACAGCTAATTCCGACCAAATCTTCTTAAGTACTTGGTATTCCTATATCAACGAACCGTCCCAACATACCGTTTTTCATGGAGGGATACGATACGAAAAAAAACCATAGGAATGCTAAGGTGTGACCAAAACTCAGAACCTCGGCTGGGCTTCGAATATGTCATTACTCCTATCGTGTGATCAAGTGCTACCCACCGTACCAAATGAGGCTTTCGCTTTGCCTTCCTACTAAGAGCTATGCTTTTACTCATTCCTGTCGACAAGTGATTGATGATAGCACCGATAGTGTGAAAATATTGCTGAAAGAAAGGCAAAGAAAGGACCGTATTTGAAGTGGTGTACAGCACAAGAGCCCCGGCTAAGGATAATCTCAGGTTTGAAACCCAGTTGACGTTCTGAGCTCTGCTCATATACCAGCATTTCTATGGTTACATTTCTAGCTCTTCTCCTACAAGACTAACAATTCAATTCCCTATACCTAGCATCAGATCTCGATTCAACTGATCGTACTCTTCTTGTCCCTTCCTCTTCCTCATCAGCAGGAGGAAGATCGCTACCCCATGACGGCGTCGATCGATCGCGTTTTACTATCAGTCGCTCATCGGGAATCTGAGAAATCGTCGCCTATAAATGAACATCACTTTTCTAACAACTAATTGGAATGGAAAAAAACGAGGCCAGACAGTTTGTTTTTCGGCAGTGCTCAGCTCACCACACGATTTCTCATGCTGTGTGATCTACCAACAGGCTTATCATGGATTTCTTGTCCAATCCCCGAATCCGAACTTGTTGATTTCACATTGTGTTCAATCTTCGGTGTTTCGTCGTCTTCAGCATCAGACTTTCCTATCAGACCCGAACGGCGAGCCTAAATGAAGGACTCTGTGTATTAGAATTCACAACGAGCGAAAAATCATTAGCTCAATAATTTGTAGGTATTCCTACAAAAAATTCAAGTCATAAACCGCTTTCATGCGTCATTTACTAAAGAAATTCTGACTATGAGGATCTCAAGATGGAATAGGAAAAGAAAATGAATACTTATCAAGGATGTCCAGTATTATACGGATTTATTAACTCCTAGCCGGAAATTAAACAAAACTCTACAACAGGTTGTACTCTTGCCCCAAGCCCACAAAAGACCAACAGCTATCTCTGATGATTAGATAAAAGCGCCGCGACATATTATCCTCCCCCGATGCGAACACATCCAAAAAACGATATCCACTGTGATTCAAACATTGGCACCAACCGTCTAAATCGGGATCGGAAGTTCAATTAATTGGTTGAGCAAAATGTCGTCAGCTATTCCCGGCATCTTCAAGAAAACATGCTCTATCAGTAGTTAAAGAAGGCCTTTGACTCAATTCAGAGGGAAACAGTCATGGAAACCCTTGATAGTCAGGGAGTCCCTACCCAGCATTTATAGATTCTTCGTGAGCTGCACAAAAATTTCACAACTAAGATATCGCCATTCAACAACAATATTAATGTAGACGTCAAAAAAAGAGTTAGGCAAGGTGATACCACTCCGCCAAAATTATTCACCGCCACACTCAAGAACGCCATGCAAACACTGGATTGGGATGACTTGGGGGGTGGGGGGGGAGGGGTGAAAACCGTTGGCCAGCAATTACGCCATCTTCGCTTTGTTGATGATATGGTTCTTATAACACCAAACATTAGCCAAGTGGAACGTTTGCTTGGCGATTTTGATAAAGCCTGTGGAAACATTGATCATCGACTAAATCTCACAAAACTAGTGTTCATGAGAAACGAATTGGTTTCGTATGTCCCATTTACGCTCAACAGAACGAATATCTCCGAATGCCCCAGCTACGTCTGTTTAAGTGGGAAATCAACATGATGAACGACTTAGATTCAGAGTTGAGCAGGAAGAAACGAGCGGCTTGGGGAACTTAAGAGCATTCAGAATGTGGTGAAGAGAACAAAGAACAGCCGACTCCGTGCTCACCTTTTCCCCCTATTCTTCCTGCATTAACGTATGTGACAGGAACCTCGTCGCTGCGTAGGCAGCATGAAAGATCTCTTAGAGGTTGCTGGGAGTATCTCACGTCACACAACTAAGAGAAGGAAACCGAAGCTCCCTCCGACCTGCGTCAATGATCAAAAATCAAAGATACTGTTCTATACGCCAAACAGTCGAATATAAGGTGGGCCAGACACGCAATGCGTATAAACGACAACCGATGGACAAGAGTCATTAGTGACTGGATTCCTCGTGATGTCAAACGTACTGCAAGAAAACCACCGACCGGATGGTCAGAGTTCTTTACGAAAAGCCTAGAAAAAAGACATGATTCTGAACGAGACCCTAGAGCGAACAGAACCCACTGGGATACTCTTGCACGCGACAGGAAAAAAATGGAAGATTTACTCGCGCACGCTCGAGTCACTCGACGATCAACGGTAGTACAGGTGATACAGGTGATCAGCATTCACTAGCTATGACAGAAGACGACAGATGTATAAACGGCAGTCATATGCAAGGCCAAATATCTCTACGGATCACGATTTCAAGAAAATGAAACCATTGAATGAAGTGGAATTAACATACAATTACGCGCCAACTAAGCAATCGAGGGCTTAGTTTTATCACACTAGTCTCGTCTTGGGTTCCATGCAACATCATTCCAAAGTAAAAGAGGAACTAACAATTCCTACTCTCAGAGAAGAAAATTGGTTCCAACCATCGATACCGATAGGTAAAGATGTTAACTTCCAATCTGCGGTCTACGACGGTTTTAATGGGATAATAAATAGCTATTATAACATGAAAGAGCAGAGATAACGCTAGAAGTTCGAGCAAGTACAAAGAGCAGGAAAAAGATTGAACAAAGGACTCGAAAGCAGAAAAAAAGTAAGAATACTTCCTATTCTTCGACTAGTTGCAATATAGCGAAGAAATGATGCCCAGAAATTCCAATACAACCTCAACCAGGACAGCATACCACTAAGTAGGAAAAGAAAGATTCACTTAAAGCTTAACTCATCCAGTAAAGGATCTAACATCTCAATTCAAACGTTGAAAACATTTCGTTAGTGCCACACTAAGGATTTCTTAACCAAGACGGAATATTTGTGTATTTGTTACAAGGATATCATCTAACAACGCAGGTGGAGATGGCTAATATTCACATTAACTAGCTATAGCTGCAATTGGATGCAAAACAAATTGAGAAGGTTGTACAAAATGTATGAATTTTACCTAACGACGTGTTTCACTAGCGTTTAGTTCCTCTGAACATATTTCACCTTCGACAGCTGTCATGAAAGAAAAAAGATGCAACGCAAGTTTGTTAGTACATTTGAATCTTTTTTGCTTCAGAGGCAATTAGAAGCTTCATAAGGACTACTAAACGTTGCTTACCAACAATACATTTTCAGAACCTTTTTCATTCATCTGTCAAGTGATGTGTCAAAAATACCTTTGCTTTTCGTTTCACTTGAGAAGCAGGATAACAGGCATCTGATAATGATGATGTGCATTGAGTGTGGACTTTCACATCACAGTCTAAACGACAAGAGTAAAATTATCCATCTCGATGAAGAAAGTTGGTGATTCAAACACTTACTGGCGCAAAAGTAACACCACGGCTGCATACCCCAAATGGCATCACGACACTGATAGCAATAATGTACGGTGTTCACAGAATTCACCACAAACATATGGCCTTTCACCTGGAATTCGAAATCTGATCTTGCAAAGAAAAAGTTTTCCACCATTGACCATACGTTTCTGTATAGTGTTATGGTCTAAGGTTCTTCTCTACCCACCTGTGCTTTTGCTTTCAAGCTACTTGGCGGCTTTCTGCTCTTTCCACTCTTTTCTTTCATTATAAACTGGGGATAACGTTCAATCATCTTCTCCCAAGCTGCTGTTGACGGCTTTGAGCCAAGAATAACCTGTAAAGCTTCTTAAAGAAAGGAAACGTTGCAACTTTATATTAAAAAAAAAGAAAAGCAAAAATTTGTGATATTCAACTGTCCTACTGAGGCATTATAATGCTAGCGTATTCACCTCATTCTATTTCCACTTGTAAACACACTGAAACAATGAAACTGCATTTGCTCTGCTTTATGACATTAGTGGTTAGGGCAGCAATTAATCAGTGTTTCATCCTCATGGGCGAGATCATATATATATATATTCATTTATGCTCATACGTATGTATATATGCATATGTACATATGCCCATATTACCAACCACACGGATGAGAAGCCTTATTCATAACAGCCCTCGAAATTTGAACATACCTATACAAGTGTCACCATTCTGCACTGCGCTTCTTTACACTCTACACACACCTTGAAGAGTGAATATATTGTTGTTTTCACTCACCTACTATGTCTCTACGATTAAACAGCCCGCTTCAAAAACTATTATGTCTCTCAGAATTTAATGTCAGCGTGTTAGATTCATATTTTGCTGTGATTTAGCAGCAGTTTTTTTTTCGAATGCTGTGCTATTATATATCACTTCAAAGCTCATTTTATGCACTTCCACTACGTATAATTGAAACATTTTTTTTAAACACTCTTTCCAACGGTTTACCGTCCCATCATAGCTGCTAGGTGTTCCTGGGTGTCGGTCTGCGAAATACATTGGAGGATCCATCCCTCATTAGAACCTGCCAAGTTGAAAAGGATTCCGGCGTTTCCACCAGGAAAGCCAGCTAAAAGTAGACCAATGCCACGATCCACCACCGTCCTACTGTCAAACCAGTGGCATGGTGGCAAACGTTTCTCTTATCCACAAGGGCGGCGACCACCTGTGGTGGTGACGACCTGGGCAGACTTTGGTTAGGCTTACCCAGAGACTCCAGGGATACACAATGGTTAAGCTAGCAAAACTCCGAAAAAATTGAAATTACGCTGAGGCCGGCACAACCATTGTGGATGGACCCTCCAAATATCCGAATAAGTATAATTGGATCATGGTACAAAATTTGTCGTTGATAAGTGTCAAAGGCTAGAATTTCAGACGTCAATACAGAAATTTGACAAGCCTATTTCCACGAATTCAAACTCGGACATAGTGTAACCAAACGGCTCGAAACGTTAATGAGGTATTAAGGATAAAAAGAATAAAGGTTTTAGCGTTGGCCGACCGTTGAGGGAGGCGTCATGCAGTCGACTTCATCAACCATCGTTAGAGATGATTAAATAAGTATCTCGCCTATATAATGGTTTGAGGTGAAGTGCCGATGTATCGATTCAGTGCTGCTATCCTGCCAGACAAGACTAGTAGCAAATTGCAGAGACCGTCGGGAAGGAAGCCTCGGTGAGCCTAGGCGTGCCATCGAATCAATGAACACGTGTGTATTCTAGAGCATCTCTGACCACTGGCTACACGCCCCATCAATGGAGTGCAGGACGAGGAAAGTGTTACCGAACGAACAGTAAATTCGACCTTCGAGATGAAGAAGGTTCCGCACACCCTTCAGTTATTGACGACACTGAATTGAGTACTTCTCTGCAAGTAAATTCACACCACACCACTGCTGAAAACTTGCGGAACAGCTCGATGAAAGCACCTCATCCGTTTTGGAACACTGAAACAAATTAGAAAATCGAAGACATTAGATAAATGAAGGCCGCACGAATTGAATGACAATCAAAAAAGTCGCCATTTTGAGATATCGTCATGGCTCCTTCTGCGCATCCACAACCACTCGTTTATCGACCGTTCTGTGATATATAACGAGAAATGGATGCTCAATGATAACATGAGACGATTATCGGAGTGGTTAAAACGCGATTGAGCCCCGCAATAATTACGAAAGCCGAAACTAAACAAGAAGTATTTTCAGAAAATCGATAAAATGCGCTAGAAAAATTGAACGACTGCTTCCTCAATAGTCAGTAAAAAGGAACCAAAGGAACTAGTCCTTCTGTACGACGACATGAGGCCACACGTCGCAGCACCGTTGCCGTAGAAGTCGAGTGAGGTGGACCACGAAAGTATGCCTAGGCCAGCATGCTTGCGGGGCTCTCTCCCATCAACTCTCACTTCTTCGAGCATCTTGATAGCGTTCTTCGTGAGGAATGGTTTACAAACCAAGCCAACGCCGAAACTGCCTTCGATGACTTCGTCGCTTCCAAAAGGCCAAAATTTTTTGCAGCTGGTACAAATTGCTTGCAACGGCTAACCATTTGCATATAAGTGTAGATTCTAATGGCTTCTACCTCGACTAAAGAAGATTATTCTGGGCTGCAATATGACGCCTTAAAAATATGGGTTGAAATTTGACATTAATACCCGATGAGCTTAATATACATAGCCTATATCGGAATTACACAATATTAATCAGTCCATCACATTTAACAAAGCTAGAAAATAAGTTTAGTAAATGAGCAGTTGTCTCGTGAAACAAAAAGAACAAATAATTGGTTATGAGTGTAGGAGGCAAAGGTAACCGATTAAACAAATGAGCAGCAACAACGGATCGATTGCCATGTTTTTGCAAAATCGATAGTCATTGATCAATAAAACCAGTTACCACATAAACCACCTGTACTGTAGCCACTCAATATTTTCTCTGTCGAATGACATAAACTGCACAATGCCTTTGCTATGATGCATTTTCCACTGGACGGTGAAAAAAAGTGGCAACGAATGGCTAGTTGACAATGTTGACAGCTGCACATGTTTGTTGCCAGGTGGGCTTCCGAATGAAGATTTCCAACTCCATCTCAGTCCGTGCAACCTTACTGGTGGGGCGAAGCTTTGCTCTTAATCCCACTAAGAGCCAGGAACACAAACGTTCCACTATCTTACAGACAGCAACCCCATGTCACCAAATATAAACCATAGGCAAATATTCGAAATTGTTATTATTTTATACATCTGGAAAGTTGTATATATACTAGAAACATACCCTTATGACGGTCAACAAACTAGCAACGATGGCTTGTGTTCTCATATCACACGTATCGAAATCACCTGATGAACCGATGACATTCTCTAGTGCACGAAACATCACTTGTTCGCCAACCTGGAGCCGAAAATGTTGTACTCGTTTCACAGTTCGTAAATTTCATTTAATGCTCCTTTCTAATTTAACTAATATAAATGTGTGATGTGTTAATACCCGCTCATCATTTCACACTATGATTCTTTTCGTTCTTCATCGCGCTTCCATTCTCTTCTGTTGTGGCTGACATAACCAGTGGATAAAAAGCATTTTTTGAAAGGAATCCAGCAAACTTCCTAGATTGACAACGTACCACTTTTTCTTCACTGCCCATTATTTTTCAATGGTATGGCATTATGTCAAATACAACCACAATGATACTGAGATATTTGCAAAATTCGGACCCCAGACCAGATTCGAGCCCCGCGATTATCCTTTCCAGGGACCCATGTATTTCCCACTGTACCACGTTGGCCCTTGCTTTACCTTTCTCAACCAGTTTTCTCACCCTAACCGTGTCATCAATAATTACTTTTAAACCGGACTGATCCAGAAAGCACGGGCATTGAACCTGGAGTGCAGTCGGAATCCTAATGCATCGCTTTTTCTTTAGTGCCTCTTATTTTTTCACGGCAGCGCCTGGGGCCGTAATTTTGCAAATAGCTCCGAGATTAATTCGTCGAAAAATTTCCTAAAAGGTCATTCTAACTACCTGTTTTCCAATTTCTTTTTACCTCTACGTTAATTTCTGAGTAATTTTTCTAGATAATGTTATTGTAGGAATCTTCACTGCGCTCGCGTTGCATAAAACCCTAAGTTATGGTATTCTAACTTACACTTACTGCCTATTTTTTCCTGGCAAGGTACGATGTGAAATACAAGCACAAAAATGCTAAAATATAAATAAAACTCGAAACCTTAGCTCTCGATTACCCTTAAGGAGTGCTCACGTGCTATTCAGTACACCAATCGAGACCCTTTCTTTCCCTTCTTTCAGCCATTTCCTAACTGTCAGAAATCAACCCTTAACAGTAATGGTTTGGTGAATACAGATCGCCACTGAGCTCAGTTAAGCTGATGTTGCGTTCGAAATCAAAGTGGTCTTCATAAGTGATGATGTTCCTGATAACATGACACACGGTCATCAATACAGCATTTATTCTACAAAACGTTCTTTGGAGTTTTTTAATTCCAGGCAAAATTCCGAAATAATGTGTTATAGAAATAGACACAAATTATATATAATAAAAAAGTACAGCAAGACAAACCCGAGTTTCCATAGTTTGGTCCCCACGAACCAAATGTGCTAGTTGATTGGCATCAAAGATCGTACCCAATCCTAGAACATCGCACAACCATAAAAACTTGATCATTTCTTCTACAATGGGGATAAATCGACAACGTTGCTTTGCGAAGTAAATATTTTCTAGAGCGGAGTAAAGTTGTGATATTGATAATAAATTTTTTTTCTTCCGACTATGTGTCACTGCAGAGACATTACGGTACATTGTATATGTTTCCCCTAGTTGGTATATCTTCAACTTCAAAGTTTTCTTATAACTGTGGTTTATCTTCAGGCTACGAAAATTGGCGTGAAATACTCCTTGGCCTTCACGTTTGCGCTAAAGTCCTTGTTTTCTAGAGGAAAATCTGCCAAGATCGACACTTTACCGCTTCACACTCTCGAATAGCCTTGTGGAGGTTCCAAGAGCATCGAGGATGTAGTGAAGAGAACAAAGAACACCCGACTCCGTGCCCACCTTTTCGACTCAGCAACTTCGTCGCTGCGTAAGCAGGATTAAAGGTCACTCAGCGTTACCGACCGCTCAGTCGAAAGGACGATGCTAGGAGTATCCCGTTTCACACAAGTAAGAGATGGGATCCGAAGCTCCGACCTGCGTCAGCGATCATAAATCAAAGACGCCGTTCTGTACGTCAAGCAGTGGAAGATAAGGTAAGCCGGACACGTAATGCGTATGAATGACAACCGATGGACAAGAGCCGTTAGTGACTGGATTCCTCGGGATGTCAAAAGCACTGCAAAAAGACCACCGACGCGATGGTCAGAGTTCTTCNTTTTACCTCTACGTTAATTTCTGAGTAATTTTTCTAGATAATGTTATTGTAGGAATCTTCACTGCGCTCGCGTTGCATAAAACCCTAAGTTATGGTATTCTAACTTACACTTACTGCCTATTTTTTCCTGGCAAGGTACGATGTGAAATACAAGCACAAAAATGCTAAAATATAAATAAAACTCGAAACCTTAGCTCTCGATTACCCTTAAGGAGTGCTCACGTGCTATTCAGTACACCAATCGAGACCCTTTCTTTCCCTTCTTTCAGCCATTTCCTAACTGTCAGAAATCAACCCTTAACAGTAATGGTTTGGTGAATACAGATCGCCACTGAGCTCAGTTAAGCTGATGTTGCGTTCGAAATCAAAGTGGTCTTCATAAGTGATGATGTTCCTGATAACATGACACACGGTCATCAATACAGCATTTATTCTACAAAACGTTCTTTGGAGTTTTTTAATTCCAGGCAAAATTCCGAAATAATGTGTTATAGAAATAGACACAAATTATATATAATAAAAAAGTACAGCAAAACAAACCCGAGTTTCCATAGTTTGGTCCCCACGAACCAAATGTGCTAGTTGATTGGCATCAAAGATCGTACCCAATCCTAGAACATCGCACGACCATAAAAACTTGATCATTTCTTCTACAATGGGGATAAATCGACAACGTTGCTTTGCGAAGTAAATATTTTCTAGAGCGGAGTAAAGTTGTGATATTGATAATAAATTTTTTTTCTTCCGACTATGTGTCACTGCAGAGACATTACGGTACATTGTATATGTTTCCCCTAGTTGGTATATCTTCAACTTCAAAGTTTTCTTATAACTGTGGTTTATCTTCAGGCTACGAAAATTGGCGTGAAATACTCCTTGGCCTTCACGTTTGCGCTAAAGTCCTTGTTTTCTAGAGGAAAATCTGCCAAGATCGACACTTTACCGCTTCACACTCTCGAATAGTCAGCATGCTGGTGTCAACTTGTAAGGAGACATCATTCACGGCCGAAGACATCTAATGAGAACAACCGTTCAAAATACAAATGGAGTTTAATTCACTTGTACTAAATACATGTAGTGCCAAATATCTCGAAATACTACCTATTTCTGATAACATACCTAACAAACTTAAACAAGTGCTAGTTGAAAGTGACACCGACTGCTGTAGACTGCTAAACTAATGTATTTCCCTCATAGACGGATCTCACGCCGGTTAGTCGCGAGGTAACGTGGCACATTCCCAGCTGGTGGACAGTGGGGCTAACCACCGACCGAAATGACCTTTGCTTGTCTTTCTTCGACGTAATCGGACACAGAAGATGGACTTCCTGTTTCTGCCATACCGATTTGACATGCACTTTCTATGTTTGTGAAGACGTGTTAATGGATGCGTGCGAGGATCTGTTCTCGTTTATGAGGATTGTATTCTAAGATTCACATAAGCAAAAATTTTACAGTCAAGTGACGGGGAATTGTTGGGGAGGCGGGTTGAAGTCGCCTTCAACAAATAAGTTCACCCCATTACTCCAAGAGAAACTGGTAACCTACCCGTGAGTATACCCAGTCCTACGTTTAAAGCTCAGCGAGCTATGCGTCGGTATCATAAGTTAAACACAGTAAAATAAACAGGCCTCATTTCTCTGACAAGTACCCGACACGGCAGCGCCAAGTAGGATGGGTAAGGAGAGGTTGCTAAAATCTCAGGGCGATTTTAAGCTGCTTAGATCGCAGTGGACTAAAGTGATGACCTGTACCTACAATGCACTCACACTTGCATCTGAGTCCTTAATAGAAGACTTGACCATGTAAGCAAGAAGAATGAGATATGACGTTATAGGACTGGCCGAGGAGAGACGATGTCACTAATTTAACGCCCTCTACGACGCTGGAAAAGAACTCTTCCTCAAAACATACGACAATAGAGGAGTCGGCGGCGTTAGCGTTCTCGTCAACACGAGTTTGCTCACGAACATCGATATATTCGAGCACCTAACAACAGGAACTGGACATTTACGATTGAAAACATGTGGATCAATACCGATTTTGACAATCTTCGCCGTCTACTCACCGACATCAAGCTATAACGAAGACGAAGTCCAAACGTCCTATACGGACTTCGAGAAGCTTTACAGAGAAGACCATAGATTCTTTAAGACCTGCGGAAAGACTATCTTTGACCACAAGAACGATATTCATGTGCAACGGATTAGTTTCGTATGCTACATTCATGCTTAACGAAATGGATTTCTCTGAATGCTCCAGTTATGTCTATCTAGATCAGGAAATCAATATGATGAACAACTTAGCACCAGAGCTGACCAGAAGGAAACGAGCGGCTTGGTGAGCTTTCAAGAGCATCGAGAATGTAGTGAACAGGACAAAAAACATCCAAATGCATGCCTAACTTTTCGACTCCATGATTCTTCCTTCTTTAACGTATGCCTCAGAAAACTGGTCCCTGGGAGGTAATAAACCAATGGCCTAAATCCTATGACTCTCTCTTATCGATGACAGCCGTAATATAGGCAGGGCATGCTGAACTTCATAATTTGCAGCGCTTACATAATAATCTAAAATATGTTCACCTAATTGTCGTTTTTGCCGAAAATTGGCCATATGTTCGTTGATATCCGCAACAGCACGTTGTCGACCAGGAACAAATACGCGTTTCAAAATCTCCACGTCCGATTCGCAAATTTGCTCGGCGGTTGTTGCCAAAATCTGAAATATTACGGTAAATATTATCGAAAACAAGTGAACAACCTACTATAGAACGACGACAAAAATATTGCTTTCTCATTTAATAGGACGCGTTGTTCTGAAACAGCATGCTAACTTTGCTCGATTCATTCATTTCCTTCTATAGTTAATAACTCAATAGTTCTATTCAATTAAATGATTTCGAACATCTAGCTCATTTCGACGATATAAAGCTATCCACAGCTAAGTTCCTAGGTTCTTTTACTACCTGCACATCAAATAGTTCCGTTTCAGAATGAGAAGAAGGTGTTATTTTGCTCAAGATTTCATTTTAGGAAATATACGAATATCCAGGACGAGAAGAAGCGTCCTAACAAATCAATTGTATTCACCTTATCAATTGGTTGGATAATACTCTGATCCGAGTTTGGGATAACAAGTGGAGAATTCGGGATGACGAACGTAGTGAAAATTTCGAATGCCCATCGTCGGAAATCTTTTGGAGCACCTTGAGCATTTTGGAAAGCATCCGTAATCACATAGAAAAACTGAAAAAAAAAACAAAATAATGCAATAGTGATATGGTCATTGTTTTGCTTCGTGACAACCGTACAAGAAAAGAGAAAAATTTCAAAATAATTGGCGCGTGTAGAGCGAGAGTCATAAATGTCCTACAATAAGCACATTGTTGTTAGCTCGGTCCCGTACCTCTGGCTCACGCGAAATCCTCCATCGCTCCGGGAGTCGGCAAATTTGTACCAGACTTGTCTGGGAGGATAACAGCTCTGACTCGATACATCGGTGGGCTACTTCGAGTCATTGCACATGCCAGATATACATTCAGTTACCTCTAATGATGGTTGATGGAGTCGAATGCATGGCGCATCCCACAAAAGTTCATCAACGCCGCCAGCTTTACTCTTTCTCACGCTTATCGCAAAATAAATGATTTTTCACCTCTTACACTCCAGCTTTATCAGTTCTACCTGACAATGACATCTTCATCACACGAAAGCCTTTTGACACACTGACCGGATTAACACGTCTGCGATCATTTGTATTGAATGTAATGCATGCGTGCCCGAAAATAATTAATGTTTTCAAGTATAAACAACTACATTTTGGTTCATAGTGAACCACATCAAGTGTAAGAAAACCCATTAAAATCCACAGATCTTTGCCAATTTTATGCAAGTTTTTTATGCTACCGAGATAAAATGCCGATTATCTGGAACTTATAGAAACTGTTTTTTGCTTTTTTTTTACCTAACATTCTACTTAAACTCCCCATCGAGGAAAGTCTGCTCTACTAGTCTAACAAATGCTTGCACTCGGAGACTGTCAAGTGTTCTCTATTTATCGAAAAATTATTGGTAGTTTCCGGAGAACCAGAACAGTTGTTAGTATACTTACGTGTTCATTCAATACTAGTACGCCTGAGTCTGAAATTGCTGTTTTTCACGGAGATGTGACCGCCTACAACCACCCGCAATTAAATCCTCAATGGATAAGAATGATATTGTAACGTACACTACAACTATGATTACAATTCAAGCACTTCAAATAAAATACTTTAGACGTTTGAACTAAAAATTCTCTAGATGAATTGGACCGCCCGTGAATTTTCCCCCTGTTCGAACACCAACACAAACAGACTCAACCATCAGCCACAATTACTAACAAAATTTCATGTTAGAAATAAAAAAAGGAATTTTTGGAAAGGTGACATTTATTCCTTGCATTTATTACGAATAACAGAATGGCCCTAAGCAAAAATACACAATATTTCAAAAATTCATGATTATCATTAAGAAATATGGGAAGAAAATTCACATCGTGTACTACCAACTCGACCACTCAGTTACAGGTTCTGCGTCAAAAAAGATATAGAGTCTTTCAATGGCGGTTTTTCCAACTAACCATGAAGAAAAAGCACAAGCAACATTTGTGCAACATGGTAAGCAATCGATAAGCATGTTAATCAAGCATTCGTTACAGTGCTATTGTGTTAGGTATTGATAGATGTAGGGCAAAACTTATTTTTCAAGTTTTTAAATGATGACATTACTTCAATGATGCTGAAATATTTGCAAAACTCCAGACCACAGGTGTTTGCGGTGGGGAACGAACGCGCTATTGTACTTTCCTGGGTGTAACGCGTTCACCACCACACCATGCGGGTCCTTCGTTTTCCCTGCCTTTCAGCTAATTCTAACGATCTTTTGCCATCAGCAAATTGTGATGACATTACGTTCGTAACTTAAAAAATACTTTGCAATTGCGCTAGTCTTAGAAATTGCCTACAGTTCCGCAAAAAATTCTCGCAATACTCACCAAGCTATTTGGACTGGCATTTGACAATAAATAATTAATAAATACAGCAAGGTGAGCAGGATGGGTTTTGAGCTCAGCGAGGTTTGAAAATGGACCATGCCTCTCGATCTAAAATATAAAAACTATTAGCCAACGAGGAATATTGGAAAGTACAACAGTTATAAATTAGTGTCGATTTAAAAGAGAGGTCATTTGTATTCCTAAGTATTTCTGGAGCTAACACATGCTATTAAACCCTGACTTTCGAAAGGGTGCAATTATTAGAGCAAATCAATCATTTTCGGTTTTAGTCTGCTGACTCTGAATAACGCAGTATATCGGCGGCTTGTTCGCCGATAATCCGAAAAAGTGTCTGCCCTATCAACCTAATGGTAGTCTATTAGTCTACCACGGTTATTACGGGTAACGGAGAATAAGGGTTCGACTCCGGAGAGGGAGCCTTAGAAACGGCTACCACATCCAAGGAAGACAGCAGGCTCGAAACTCATCCAATCTTGAATATTCCTAAGCACTCCTTCAGCATATTCCGTTGAAAACTGTTTCTGATCTGAGGAAGAACTAGGAGCGGTTGAGCAATAAATGTACCCTGATAAGTATCTAGGAATGCTAAGAAAAAGCGGAAAAATCAAGGACAAATGAATTCGTTAAAAATACTTTACACACTCAAATGGTTTTCATGATTTCCACGCTCCCGCACTCGCATCATCATTTTCTAACATTCAATGACGTTTTTATACAATTTCAAAACTGTGGAAATCTACAAAACACAGCGTTACCAAAGAAGGTCAAATTGATGCAAAAAACCAAGATTCCCATAAAAAGACTGGATTTGAAATCTTTGAAAGTGGAAGGTGTTAAATCCAACATACTGTCAAAAATAAACGTTTTAAGGCACCATTGGTTTGAAGTATTAGAGGGGAAATTTAATAGTTAGTGATATTAATAAATACATGGAAAGAACCTCTGAAAGTTTTCCAGGCAAACTTTCCGTCTCATCATCGTCAGTATCACCGTCCATTGGAGGCTGAAAATCAACGGAGCTGCATAAAAACAAAAATTGGCAACAACAATAACAACAAAAACATTTACTGCATATTCATTTTTAAAAAAAAACCATTGCACCTATGACGACAAGAATGCTGAGATATAAGCAAAACTCAGAACTTCACATAGGTTTTGAACCCGCTATTTTCCTTTCCAGGCGATCACATGATCCATCGCATAAGCCGAGGCCCTCGTTTTATCTTTCTCACATCCGCTTTTTTTCAATTCTAACCTATTTACTGATGCCGATTTGTGCTTCTCAGATCATTCCCTCTGATTGGCAATTGTTGACAGCACCGTTAGAGCTTTTAAAAACGTAGATGAGAGGAAGGCAATGCGAGGTTCTCGGCTAGTGTAGTAGATTACGCAATCTCCAGGAAAGGATGGTCGAAAGTCCGATGACCAATAGAGATTTCGAGTTTGTTCCTATCTCAGCATCGTCATGGTCGTATTTCACCGAATACCTTGCGATGAAAAAAGAGTGAGCAAATAAGTAAATATAGGAACATTGTCATTAAAACTACAGTCTATATATTGCTACAAGAGAAAGGAACAGAGGAAAAGCGAGAAAATGAAAGCACAGATGAGGGAGGCACATCGCAATGTCAGACGGTGCCTAATACGCGATTACATAGTAAAACAAACTTGGCTCCACGGCAGATCAACGTTCTTAACGTGACGTAACTGTGACTGTAACGACACAATTCTTTTCAATGCACGATCCAACTTCTCGGTTTCCTCCGTGTCACGAAGTCCCTGTAATTCCAACGCATTTCATATTTGCTGAAGAAAAAGGAATGTGCAACAGAACTATCGAATAGAATACTAAAGATCAAGCATTTGATGGATAAACTGATCGTTCACGTGCTTTAATTCAATGTGAACTCTAAGAGAATAATGTTTGTTAGTTGCCGTTAGTGCAGCTACTGTTGCTAATGTATTATTACAACTTGTTTTGCAGTATTTTGGTATATTTTTTGACGAAAAAAAGAAGAAACCATCACTACTAGATAGTTGCTTACAGATAACTATTAAAGGATAAAGGATGAAGCTCTCGGCGTTGACCAATCCCTGAGGGATTCGCCATGAATTCGATGTCATTATTCATCACTGGAGGAATGAATACATATTTGGCCTTTACAACGACTAGCGGTGGTCTATCGAGCTAGTGCTGCTTGCCTCTCAAACAAGTCTGATACCGATTTGCCAAACCCGGAGGGATGGGAGGCTTGGTAGGCCATGAGCGCTGCGATTGATCCAAAATGTATGTCGCAGGGTGCCTCCGACCACTACGCTACCCGTACCCACAGATAACTATTAGATGCACTAATTAGGAAATTATTGCACATTGTAAAAAAAATTAATCGTAATTAATGTGCGCTATTATATTGAGCTTAAAATGTTTAGTTGAGAAACACTCAATTCAATAACTTTATAATGATTCCCTAGCAACACGTAGAAAGAGATCGTGTAAAAGTACTATTATGTTTGAAAAAGTACTTTTCTTCACTACAACTTCTGCACATTGTCATTCTTCCATGTCCTAAAACTATGAATCCCACTCCACATGAAATTCGAAGAAAAATTTCTGAATAATTTAACTTCTTAGGGCTATGACTAGAAAATCAAACAACCCATGTACCCAAAATGAGCGCCACTGACCCTATCTTTAAGAGAAATATACAGTGGAAAACCCATACGGACAATAAGAGAAAGAACATACTAGAATTGAATGCATTAAAGATCATCATATTTTTTTTTGATTCAATGCTAAATAGGACTCGAATAATCTGCAGAGATTAAAAAAACGTACTGAACTAGACTAAATAACACTCTAATCGCCGAATTGTTCTTTTTTTAATTCTCAAAAATGCAGGTGGATAACTTCGTTTGAAATAAACAAAAACAGTTAAAAGGATAAGGATAGAGCGTTCGGTGTTAATCAGTTTTTTAGGGGTGCTGTAGTGGTCTGCCAATTTATCAAGCCAAAGTTTTTGTATTCGCAGAAAAGTTTGGAACAAATTTCTTGAAAGAAGGACGTTGTTGTCTCTGGACGTGAAAACGAACAAATAGCCATGTGTGTATTCTAACCACCTCTACCCACTGAGCAACTCGTGTACTCCATTAAGACATATTTTTGTAAAGGAAAACCTGTCCACATCAACTAGGCGAATATTGGCAGCAAAATAAATAAGCGGAAGCACTTATAAGCCAAATGAAGCATTTCATAAAAGAGCGACAAACTGCAAGGATCGTTTGCGTTTGTTCAACACATTTAGAATGATAATTCTACCAAGTTGACAAAAAATTGTTCACAACATCAGCAATGTCCACAAGACTTAAACGAATTTGCTGTCATTGATCTGTTGAGCTTCAAAAAAAAACAACCTTATCACATTAGTCAGTCAAGTCAAACATAAAATCCCGTTAATAATTCACTATTTTTCTTGATAAATAAATGCGAGGCTGTTATTACAGCATTTATCAGCTCGCAATAGCTGACATTTCGGAGGATTCGCCTTTTTCAGAGGCTGGGAAGGTCAAATAGACACGTAATCTTCTCAGCCAAACACTTTTATAACCTCAGAGGATAAAATTTAATATGTAGGTTATTATATTTTTAACTTTTTATACATTTAAATATTTATATTTTATACTTTTCATTTGCTATTTTTCTAAACAATTTATGTGGTAAGTCCTCTGAAGTTATGAAAGCGCATGGTTTGCAGGAGTTTGCATGTCATTTTGAGCTTTCCAAGCTCTGAAAAAGACGAAACCTCCGAAACGTCAGCTATTGTGAATTCCTAAATGCTGTAATAAAAACCTCGTGTTTGCTCGCCTACAAAAATAACGAACTATTAATCAAAACCGAGGTTAAAAGAAAATCGGTCCTGCAATATTCAAAAATTACTAGCTTCCACTAAGTTTTGTGCTCTGAGTATGTCGAAATTTTATGATGTGCGAAAGAAATCAGTTCAACTTTCACACTCGCTTCCGCACTAGTCGTTAGAAATTGTAAAACACTCAAAGACGGATCGAAGAGTCCGTGCATCCAACTTCATGAAGCGTTTAACTAATGCGGATCCACTTGCACGAAAAATGACTCGTTCTCTTATTGAATGCGCCCTTATCTATCAGAATTTTGGAAACATAGTTGACTACCCAACTATCATGACATTTCATATCACCGTCATCCTGTCAATAAGGAAAGCCAGGAACTTATGAAAAGAGTTCTTATACAAGTTTATGGGACTGATTAGACAAAGCATGTAAACCAGGCTAGCAACAAAGCAGCAACAGCTTCGAAAATGAGCGTGTGTACGAGTTAACGAGACCACTCCAAGAAACATCGCTGAAGAAACGCCAAAATTAGGCGATTATGGTCGAAACTCGGCTCTGTTGGTCGAAATTTTAGCTGGTTAAAGGAAGGCGAGCCCAACTAGAGCCGAGTTAAAGGCTCTCGGGAGGGCGAAGCATTGATCTCGGTCTCCATAGTCAGAAAACGACACTGGACTTGACTGAAACTGCTAAAAAGGCCGTCAATTCGGAGACGTTCGGAATCCTTCGCACCACTTTTCGACAGAGCGCATAGCTATTAACCATCATACATGCCTCGTTTTTCCTGATTTGTATTGGCCATAAAATTGTCAGTCAACAGTGACGAGAGAAAACTCAGTCTTCTAATTCTAAAATTGTAGTAGATCTAAAGTCTACAAGCTTCTACAAACCTTCGAAAAACGTAAGCCAGAAATGTTTAAGTTCCAATTCAACAAAAAAAATATACGACAAATGTATTATTAACTAACAAACAGTTTCGTTTCTATAACGCAAAGATAAACACAAAGTAGATATATCACCCTAAGCTCATAAATCACTGTCATACACAGTCTGATGAATCGATATATATATATATATATAATGTAATAGAAGCAGACCGAAATACTATCAGACTAACCAAACCGGGTTCTCCACGTTTTCTTCCAATGAGCAGTAAGAGAAATACAAAGGTTGTCAACGGAATGGAGATCATAGGCGAGAATAATTCTTATAAATTACATATCTTTGTGACCCAAATGTTTTGCCACCTTATGCTGACTAAGTCGTGCTCGGATGTTGGAAATGCGATGGCCACGCAAAACTCTTTTAAAGTGAAAAGTAGTTCAACATTTATCCAGAAGCCTAGCTAGGATTAAACCAGTATCAGAAATACATTGGTAACAATGTCACAAGAAACCCAAGCTGCATTCTTCATGAATAATTTCTAGAAAAAGTGTCTATGTTCTCGCAGTGCTCGCTTGGATTACGAGATTATCTTATCATCGCTTATTAATTAAGAGCTGTAGTGAAAGTGTTATTTGCAAATCCATTGCCTTGAATTCGTAGCATTCATTGTCTTGCCTTCAGCAGAAAAAGAAGGCATTTCTAACCGTTCAACCACATTTGGTTTTCAATTCCTTTTTCTCACCGAAGTTTCGCATTACTAAGAGAATTAATGAAAAGTCAATTTGTTTATCTATTGGAAAGTATGGATAAAACCATAATGACAGCCGACTACTCAGAGTTCTCATAGCAAAAGTCAAGTTTTCAGTGAATCATAATGAGAACAGTGAGGTCACAAGTAGTCATCTGCAATCATGAGGAAATCTTAGCACGACAGCCTCTAAAAGAGAAAAAAAGAATTTAAGAGAAAATCCAGAGTAGAAACTTGCATAACCAACTGTAAAATAGATACACTTTTGTCATACATCAAACGATTCTCGTGTTCTCCTAAAGGTTTCATGTCACATCGTATCCCTGTGGTCGTTCAGCATCCAGTCAAAAGCCCAAAAAACCAACATATGTCAACTAAAAGAAGAACACTTTGCTATTCGTGCAATAAAAACCCTGCACCGAAATTTTAGTGGTTTGGCCTTTGTCCTACACCCATCAGTTATTATTCATCGCATCTATTCATACAGAATCCCATCATCATGCCCGGTTATCATCATTCGTCACCAAATTCCGCGTCAAAAGTGAATCAGTGTCGTCTACTTCTAATCGTACACTGTGCAGCTGATACGGACTGAATATTTCTCGAAAACTTTGAAAAATTAACATGTAATTAAAATCCCTCATCTATATTTTTTCAGTAACTTCAACATTAGGACAAAATATACAAAACTATGCTTAAGAATACAGGGTTGACATGATTAGTACAAAGGGTCGGGATCGGAAGAGAACTATTCTAGGTGGAAGTCTACCCACATCATTCCTTTTCAATAAAAAAAATCACTTTAATGGTATAATTCCTTCACTGAGAATGGGAATCGTCTAATTACACAACACACTCGGGCGTCAACGATTTCCTCAAAAAAAAGAGCATGGTTCTCACATGACATCATTGTAGTAATATCACTTATTCTGATCACCGTTTGTAAATCAAACATGTTTCAGCTGTATGCCAGTCGCCAGCCAAAAAAGTAGTAATTCAATGATGAGAATATTTTGGACGAAATTGCTTTCCTACATAACAGACAGATTGAGGAAAACATGATCAAGAACTGTCAGCTGCATATTGAAGAACTCCAATCTGAGCATAACATGCTTTACTTGACCCAAAAAGGTCGTATTACATCTCCACAGCTACCAAAGAGTTACTCGGAAGTAAACAAGAGATCGTTCAGACTTCAAAAGCCCAATTAAGTGCCAATAGGACCTAGGCACATATATTGTTGCGTTACCAGCTCTGAAGAACGGATATTATATTACGACTACCTACCACCACGTATGGGATCGATAATGGAAAAGTTGTACTTCACTGTTTGTTGGCCTAAAACCTCGAGCGATGGCCTTAAAATCCTGCCAAGGGAAAAGCTACTCAGGATTTCAGGAGGCACAAGGGCGTAGAGAAATAACGAGAAAGTGCTCCATCGTTCAACAGGATCGCTGGAGGCTATCTAAACAGAACAATGTGTGGCTAACGTTTTCGACCGTGCTATAGCGAGAATTCTGCTAAGAGTATTCCCCTCACATAAATGATCGAAGAAATTCAGAGCACTTCATTACGTCAACAAATAAAGTTCATGACCAAGGATGTTGATGGCCACGTTGTTAAAAATTCGGTGGAATGAACAGAAAGTTCGTTTGAATAACAGCGGCTGTCCTTTCACTAAAGATAATGTGCTCAAAGTCCTTGAACAAATAGAGACATAGCGCACTCACGAATGCTCAAACGAAGGATGAGTGATTTATCTATGTAGAGTTCTAAATTATCAGTATAATGTGCAGTAAGAGAAATATATGAAAGATTGAACAAGAAGCTTGACAAAATTGTCATCGCTTAAAAATTACTACCTCGGCATGTCTGCGCTCTTCATCCAGCATTTGATTGAGTAACTCTTTTCGCTTTCTCTTCCAGTCTTCCTTCGCAGGGTTTTGCTTAAACTTATAAATGAAGTGAACATACACAGAAAAAGCCGAAATTGAAGAAAACCATAATTTCTTACCTCTATAAGTACTGGATCGTGAATCGATCCCGTATCAAGCTTAGAATCAGGGATAGGATAGAATCCAAGCGGTTCTGGTGGAGAACCCAAAAGTGTGAGAACAACATTTTGACCACCTTAAAAATAGAAATAAAAAATAAAGGAAACGTCATAGTAATAGAATACTGTTCTTCCAAAATGATATCCGGAAAAGGTGTTCACAGTCTAGAGCACACTATTCAGAGCACGGTAATCGTTCATAAGTTACTGAACCAATGTGGAGTAATAGAATTCTATACAAGTATTTTATGACATCATTATATCAAATTCTAAAAGAAACCGCCTTATGAAATTCTCTACAGCCTCCTATTTTCAAAATTGCAAAATTTCGTTTACAATCGAGCAGAAATATACGGAGTTTCTGGAATACCGCATTCGGAAGCTACTGCGAACTTAACTGCTTCAACAATACGAGGGACTTGTTTTCCAATCACGGTAATCGATATCATAAAGTGCTAGAACAGTGCTTCTACAAATATGCCCTCGCATTGATTGAAATTTTCTTCAGGATCCCATTTTAACAGCCGAAGTATCTCAACATCGAATAGGTTGAGAGTCATCGTGTGCTCCCCAGGGATGGTATAGATGACACACATCTCAATGTGGGGCTCCGTTTACTATCCCAACGTGCCGATCTATCAATCTAGTACGCATACCACCAGATTCATGCCTCAGAGTATGAATAGATACTAAGAAAGTTTTAACAAAATATCTCAAAATAATGCAACATTAAATACGAACCACAAAAATAAATCGAAATTTGAAATCAATTTAGGTTAGTCTAAAAGTCTATAAATTAAGACAACTAACTCTGTTTCTAAACCGGCAAGGAAAAGAAAAAAACATTTTCAGAATGAATGAGAGATTTGTATGATTCTCCTTACCTCAAAACTTCTTTTGAACAGTGTCACAATACTTTTTCGATCCGTATTTTACGGCATACACATTGTTCTCAGGATTATTAACTCAACAATACAATCTGATGCAAGAGTTAGTAAACCAAAGATAACTCACGAGGATTGATAAAAACGAATAGTTTAAAAGGCGTTGCAATCAACTATAGAGAAACAACTAGCATTCAACGAAAAAAGTTTTTTAATATAGTGAGTTTCAGTTTGTTCTCAGTTAATGTACTCCAGCGGAAGCTACGGTGAACACACAATTTTGTTCAGTAACAAAAGTTATAAGTAGAACTACCTGAAATCATACGTACAACATCCAAATGGTTACTGCTGGTCACTGGCATTCCGTTAACCTAAAAACGAATTATTAGAAGAATGTACTACATCTGATGGTTTAATTTGGGTTTTTCAAAGTCCTTTGCGCGATCATGTACTGCACTACCTGCACTAGTTCCCGCCGCATGTCTTAGAAATGAGACCATAATAAAGATTTGCAGATAGAGATTTGCAGAATAAAGATTTTCTATAAACAATTACTTATTCCAAACAATGGCAGCTAGGGTAGGCGCCGACAGAACTCATCCATTTCCGCTGCTATGATGTTAAAATTGAACTACATGAGTATGCTTGTGATCATTGAAAAAATCCTAGTTACGAACAAAACTAAAGTTTCATCCAGTCGTAAGGTTAAAATAATAACATAGAACCAAATAAGACTACAAAACTATGCGTCAGATATGCGAATTCATTAGATGCTTTATCATCTCAATGAGACTGGTGTCTAAATGAACACAAAACTCCATCACATACAACCAGCACAACTGCACTAGAATATGTACGCACAAAATAAAAGTGGCACAGAGCGTTTTGATCGGGCTTCAGTTAAAACCAATGAATACATTTCATTTAATACCTATTCTTGACCGCAGTTACAACTGCAGTGCTAGGAACACGTCTATCAAACGACAATTACTGTTAGACGGGCGAAAGCTTAATCCTATCCAAAAACTTCGATACATGAATGATACGTTATCAAAAAGAACGGCATGGACTCTAGCGCACTCCTATCTACCTAGCATTTCCTTAGTTTAATAAAATTTCTTCATCTTCATAAAGCCTCCAGGTAGTAATGCCAGAGTGATCCTAGCGTGCCACTTAAATCACGTGTAATCGCTACTCATGCGGACCGAAGAAAGGTTTAAATGCTTGCGATTTGATCTCTTTCATGAAAGTGGCGATTGCTACAGTTTGTTTGATCCTAACTGGACTTCTGAATGAAAATGAACTCTCTCCTGGCTTAGCTAACTCTGGCCTACTGATTCATAAGCAATTGATAGGGCATACTATTCTAAGGGAAATTCTACGAGTTGACTGTATTTTCGAACTTACTTTTAGGATTCGATCACCTTCACGGACGCCAGCACAAAAAGCAGCTCCTTCGGGCTTTACGGTGTGCACGAATACTGGATGATCACCGGTTACCGTAAAACCGTAACCATCGCTTTGACGCTGCACAACAACACATCGCTCGATCATCACTTCACTTGACGCCTCAGTCACTTAAACAAACCATATTTGTAATTAGCGTACAGAATCAGCAAAAAAAACGAGAACCTCTTCCAGCAACACCGTGAAAACTTTGAGTAATTTTGTTATTCACAATGTTCATTATATAAAATTATTTACTTGTTTATTTTTAACTTATAGACATCCACACCATACGTGGCTAGTGAAGCTCACCTTGCGGCATTTACTAAAAGGTGTAAAACCCAGATCATTAAGAGGTGCATAAAAGGATAGCGATAATTTAAAGAAGAATTTCCTTAAGAACTTGTAAGGTGTGCCCAACACAATGGAATTTCCAGAGAGAAAACAGAACGACACAAAAAAATATGACGAATATTGTGACACAGAAATATATGAATGTTACATATTTTTCTTTTGCAAAAATGTTACATTACGAATGCTACATAATATGCAAAAATTGTCAGTAATCTAAAGCTTAAAATGCCCATATTTCGAAGCCGAAGAGCGAGTTCATCCGGTTGTCAATGATGTTAACTGGCAAGTCACGCTCACGCGATGTCTAGGGTTGAAATAAATAGTATGACATAGATCACTTCGTAGCCGCTATGTTTGTCTAGCCAATCTGATGTGAAGTAGAAAAATATGTTACAGAACTACCAAACAGTACAGAAAAAAGTAAGAAACGTAGGACTAGTCTCCATAATCATTATCATCATCGTCTTCATGTATTTTGCCGCTCATTTTTCAGTCGTCAGTCGCCCTTGACGCATGCAAACTCAATTTAAGCGCACAAACACGCGCAACCAGAACATCACAAATCTTCAGAACTCATGCCCGTACATGAGAATGTCTAAATTTCAAAAATATTTAGGGTTCGCCAGCATCACATTCGTAAAGGACGCATGATAAAGCGCTCGGCGCTGCTCATTCCTTAAGATACGCACCGTGTTTTGCCTCTGTTAGAGGCGTAGAATAGGTTGCTGAATGTCTCTATGGTTCATATTTGTGATGGCGCACCGATGTATCAAATGTTTTTTATCCTCCTAGGCAACTTGGCTAACAATTTGTTGATTTCGAGGAACGGAGGGTATGGTTTGCTTGGAGCGCGGTTCGAACTAAGGACAGGTCCTATATGTACTACAGGTTGCCTTTAACCACTGTCCATACAAACATGGTATTACTGATAACGCCAAGCAATCAACCGAAGAACAAAAATATCCGTCCTTCATAAGATTTAACAACTTCTATTCTATTAGAAAAATGACGAGAACAACAAAAATTAACCTCGGCAAAAAAGGTTATAGAAAATGAAAACTGCAAGAAACATGGCTATTGAGAGCGATATTCAACTGCATGGCAGAGATTCGACCGAATGAGCTTTCCACTACCTTTTTTTTCGTTTGTTCGATTTTGCTGAGTCATTTCAAGTATCATATGAGTGATCATAAAGTGGCACACCGAGTTCTTTTCCTGGATGACCAGATGGAAGCTCATGAAACCAATCTCATCAATAACTTCAAAATTCGTATCACGTTTTGAGGGAACTAGGACTGTTAAGGTTGCTATGAGTGTTCGTACTTTTCGAACGATTTCAACAATTTGTTTAAATAGAGTACTGAACGTAATATGTTCACTTCTGCCCTTCTAAAGTTTTCAGAAATCACAAAAAAAATCAACCTACAACAAAGTTGTTAGACAAATAGAAAATCAATGGCGATAAATATTTCTTTATGAATGCTTGGAATAATTTGATTTTAAATAGATCTTTTCCTCTTTATATCATAAAGAATTATGTCAAAACTCACTGGCCATTCATTCGCTTTACTTCGGTTTCAAAATGTTCACCTATTTTTCATGGTCAGGTCGTGATCAAATTTCCTCATATGATGATTCCATCGACAACCCAATCGTGATAATGAGAAGAATGGGAACTATAACTGAGAACAATGGAAGTATGACGGTAAAACTGACATCATTAAACCTCGACCATACTATCGCCACCACCACCACCACTACTACTAATTTTTACTACTACTTCCACTATCACACTAAACTGATTTTCGAGCTTACAAGCAAATGACGCAACGAGAGTACATTAAACAGAGGACGAAACACTGTCAAACTTCACAAACCACCAGCAGCGGCATTTTTCGCGTCAATGAAAAATCTATTTCGATCGCTCTCAACTATCGTACTGATAATTTGACATTCCGATAATCTGACTAACTAATGGGTTAAAACCTTGATAAAGCTGAGAAATGAGAACACAAGCGTCAAAGACAATTATATCAACTATCAAAAGATATCAAATTTTCAGCACCTCCATGTGCATATCAGTTTATTGGATAACTTCTCCAAAAAGATTTTGATAATTCCTATAATATTATACCAACTATGGAATCTTATCTTAGTGCTTGAATAGTTCTCTTTCTTTCTAAACACATGTCCTAATTGACATAAAAATGCACTTTGCTACAGGTCTTTAGTTTCTGAACACCATTCTAGTACCTACACATTACTGCAGCATAGTGGTTGCTTGCAAAATGAATAGCTTATATTTTTCGAAACAACACTGCCACACCATTAAAATCACAAAGAAGATCAACAAGTATTCTTCCATTGATAAGCCTGCAAGACGTTGATGAACAACTTATTCAGCTAACGTTTCGATGTCTTCGTCTTCAGCAGAGCCGATGATTCGAGTCGATGCTCCACGGTTGTTCGTCTTCTCGATGCTGCGTCTTCGTCTTCGTATCGAATCGTATCCACGTGTTCTGCAGGATAGATTGGCTCGAAAAAAAAGTCATTATCACCTGACAATCTCTATTACCAAGAACTATCGGCCAGTATAAAAGAGCATTGCCTCGTAAGATTGCCTCAATCGAGCGATACTCCATTTAGGAAGATCCGACTCGATAAGAAGATGAAGATGTCACATGGAAAAGACAACTGGAGACTGTCGACACAGATCATCGGCTCTGATCAAGACGAAGATGTTGAAACATAAGCCAAATAAAATTGTTTATCAACCTCTTGAAAGCTCATCAATGAAAGAAAAGAAAAGAAAGTTGGCTACTCAAATTGAGGGTAAAGGAAATTCAGTTTCGAAATAAAGAAGATCATGGGTTGCAAACGTTACAAGCAAGTCGTGCATTGATTCGGAAAGTTTTTCGGTATGTTTTGCTAAAGAACAAATCTGTTAACATTTGCAGCGTTGACAAACACTGCCGTGAAAATTCAATTCTAGGCCACGCCTCATTTGAACTGAAAACAAGCACAAAAATGAGGAACCGCTAAGTTTGGCTCTGTCTAGCAACAAATTACGCGACATAAAACATAATCTACCGTGAATAAGTGATGTAAGCAAACCCGCTCTAAACGATGGTGAATGAAATGACGAAACAAATTCGTCATTGTTAAGCGGTTCATTGGGCAACAACGATGTGAAAATCAGGTCAAGGACACTGCAACAGTTGCATAGAAAAATAATAAGTGTTGATATATCGTGGAAAAGTGGCAACATGTTCTTTCATTTTCTTTTATTCTACCTATTAACTTACTGAACGAGCCTGAGTTGTACGTGAACACTTCCGACAGAAATCAGTACGTCAGCTTGCTAAACATGCACTAATACAACCATATCTTCTGTAACATTACATATCATATCATTGACAATACCAGTAGCAGCACAGGGTAGTATATTACCGTAGTCATAAAGCAACAAATAGTAGTATGATCGAACGATTCTCATAGCTAAATATATGGCAAATTTAAAATAGAAGATATTGAGAAGAAAAGAAGGAAAGCATGCATGAACATACAATAATGTCTCCAGGGGAACGAAAAAGGAGTCAGTAGACTCGTGGAACAATCTTTTTATCTGAATCAGACAAATCCAGTTTCCTATCAAGGAAAATATCAACAAAGGACTATTTAACTGTTAGATTTTGATTATTGAGGAGTATACTTGAACCCTTAAATTCTAATTTAACTTAGAGACAAATAATCGTGATTCATGAACAGCAATACATGTATCGAATACTTATAGACTACAGATCGAAATATATCTCGATAAAGAGAAAGAGTAAAAACTTTGAAAACAACCAAGCGTTAGCTTAGCCGCTCCTTCAGCAAACGAGTCCAGTACCTCGAGTGGAAGAGTGGTAATAAGCTGTGATGGTAGGAAATTTTGAAATTTGATGTTCTTTGTTTTTGAAAATTTTTTCAACTGTTGAACGCCTTTAAAAGAATAAATTTAACATGCAGCAGAACACAGAGAGACACAGATAGAAGAAAAAGAAAGGAAAAAGAAATACGAGTGTAAGAGAGATGACGAGGGAGAGAAAGTGAGAGAGAAAGAAGGATAAAACTGAAAAAGAGGGTTTCGCATACGTGCTCGACTTGTAAGCATATGCAGCTATGCATTTTACAGCAGATATTCTGTGTAGAATTCCTTTCTTTTAGGTGTCAACAAAACAACATAAACAACAAAAAAAAACAGCTGACATAGAATTCGTTTCATCTGCACTGAATATCATCACCAATTTTCCTCTATCAAGTAAGTCTCTAAACAATCTGATTTCATGAGAGTTACAGATTGAGTCAGTGTCTAAGGCTTGAGTGGATACGAGGTTGTCAATAATAAGATATCACAACAAGATACATTTTGAACAATGCCGAGATTAAAGGACAGTTGGTTCTGGGAGTTACAGATTGATCACCTACTATAAATATCCCAATCAAGAGAGAAAAAAACCCTGAAACTACCAAAACTGTTCCTCGATCAGAACCAAAGTCTCCGTCTTAAACAGTAGAATTCAGTTAAGGCAGAAAAAAAAAACAAAGTCGAAAAGAACAACAGCATTTGTGAAAAAATCACAACACTAAGAGTTGTAAGCATTGCACTTTCACGTTCTACTTAATGAAAATACACAGAAACGCACATGTAATTATGTTTCGGTATTTAATTCCGAGAATGTAGTGGAAAATTCGAATTAATACAATTTATTCATTCAGATGTATTTGTTTTTAAAAAAAAAAAGCAAAAGCAACACTCAACGTGTAATTAATGGAATTTATTTTCCTAGGAAAACGACTAGGTGGTGGTGAAGAGCATGTGCCTAAAGGACAATGTGCCCCAATCCGAAAGCATTTCCAAAATTTGTAGAGACTGAAACCCCAGCAAGGAAATCTACGTAGGAGACTCTTTAGGAATTTAGTCATTTGGAAAAAAGAAGTAGCCAGACATAGAAACTAGATGATAAGCGCTTGTTGATAGAAATACACGCTCACAAACTGACACTATGCCTTTTAACGACAACTGTAGTTTTGATCCCACATTTTGGAAGAAATAAAACATGGTCCATACCTTTAAGCGGAGGTGACAGTGGCCGACTGGGGCGGACAAGAGCAACATCATCAACGAGGTAGTCCCGGTGCTCATCAAGTTTGATAGGAGTATTCGTCACGAATTCATAAGCCTTCATCGTTTTATGATATAACGCATGTCGAATTGATGCTGGATAGAAAAGTCGTCACTGGTACAATATCGAAGAGTTATTCGAGAGAAATGGAAGTAGGAGGGACTCAGTAATAGGTATGAGGTGAGAAGCACGACGCAGCTCTGTGGCCTCAAGACAACAGAAGCGCTGCTGCTAGCTTCTCGAATGTCAGAAAACCACCAACATTAAAGGCCGACTACTCTCAGAAGGCGGAGAGCATCGATTACGAGCATATTCTTATGACGCGTCCTTGTCTTCACTGTTTCCCTGCCCCTCATTCTTTTCTTTCATTGGTGTTTCCCTTTCTGCCAACCAAAACACTAGTACTTAATCAACTAAGCTTTATCTCAGAGCGTTGAGCCATCAAACATCGGAAAAGCAGCTCTCGATTCAGATCCTTCGCTCTAGTAGACACGACTACCTACCCCATTCCACTGTTAATGATGCCGTCGTATGATATAACGCATGTCGAATTGATGCTGAATGACATCAGCTGAGACGCCACCGGACATAGTAGGCGATCCTACTCAATCAGCAGCAGTCAAACACCACCAATTAGTGAAGAGACCGGACGGATGGACTGACATCACAACTCTGTATTCTATCGCTTGTTGCATGGAAGCAATTTTTGACGAAAACAACAAGATTCTTCTGCTAAGGAATTTGGTTTCTACTGACCTTTTTGAAAAGCGAAAATGAAGAGCTTTTTTAGAAAAAATTTCTATAAAGTGAAAGATATGGTGTATTTACTCCTTACTCGGTTTAGGATAGAGAAAACCCTCAGAGATGTAAGAGAAAGGCTCACTTATTGAATTAAAACATTCCCATTTAAATAAAAGCATAGCGAAAGTTTATCAAACAACTAAGCCAAGCCGACATATTTTTCACTCCTTCCTAAACATCATTGGCGGTGACAGAAATTCTCGCTTTATGACGTTTATGATGCTGATGATAAATTTTGGTGTGAAACAACGCTTAGATAATATTTAGTATAACATACCGTCGCTAGGAAATGACTAATTGATGATTCCTTGCGCTGGAACGTGCACAGTACATACAAACGCAGTAACATAAGAAAATAATGAAGAAAAACTATCGGGTAACCTGTCAGTGGCTGTTCAAGTCAGATTTGGAACACAGTGCTTTCTTTAGAAGAGCATAACTTTAGGATGACATCGCGACCACTAGAAAATCCGTATCGCACTGTTCTCATCTGAAGTAAACATATCAAACTATATTTCTGATGCACGAAATTCCGCCAGAATTTGAGTGACCGAAGAAAAGCTTCAACCAGAGAATTGTTAAAGTTCATAAATGTCATCTATGATACAGATTAATCATTAACAACGTATTATGTCAATATGCAATGATATTCTACCATATGCCCTGAGCGAATCAAACCTCACATCCTTGCGCTATCAGGGAATTGCTACCAGAATTTTCTAGGAAACTTTCCCCGACACACAAAGGTTGATAACTGCTTGTAACGAATACCTGGAAACGCTCTACTATGGCTAAACCAGAATTCCAGACAGAATCTACTCAACCAATATCCAAGGCCTTTCAAGAAAACAAAATCATCAATCAGCAGACGAATCCAACAATCAAACCCCTAGATTTTCGTGAAGACTGCGAGCGAAGATTTCGAATGAAAAGAGTGCTGGGATCCGCAAAATATCAGGTTATCAACTAAAAACAATAAATCTAACACATAACTGTACAACCAAGCACAAAATGGAGACTGTAATCGCTGGATTTTACTACTATAGAGGTATTTTAATACAATATCCGTGAATGAAAGAGCGACGCCAAATTACAATAATGATATACTAACTGCATACTCAGTAGATAAATAACATCTTTGAAAAGAAAGATCCATTCACAGTGAAACACTGGAACGCATAACACGATTGCTCCTGTTAATCTTCCATGATTAACAGTGAGTTTTTGTTGTAAACATCACAGAAATACTTTTGAGCATTGAACTTGGGTAAATAATTTTACCTCATACAGTGTTCGTATACCATTATGAATGATTGTAATAAAGTAGTTCAAATGGGCTTTAAAAAATATTTCTTGGATATGTGGATGTTTCAGTAAAAACAAGTAAATTTGAGAACCATTCAAATAAGTGTGAGCTATCGCCAATTTTTATTTACTGCTTACCACTTTTTTTAATGGCAAGGTATTATGTGAGATAAGTACGCGGACCGGGACTCCGATGACGCCCATCTAATCTCCAACGACTAAAGTGACAGGAAACAAGCAATTAAACCCCCTTTAACCATTTTTTTATCGCAAAAGACCGATTTTCTATAAACCTCGGCATAAATAATCGTTGTATTTATTTATATGTTCTTTTCTCTATCGCTTTCGATCCTACTTTTTTCTTCGGTGTTCCTCACAGTAAAGACATCTGGTCGACAGAGCAAATAATACGATGAACAATATGTTCTGCCCCATTGTGGCAATAAGGAAAAACATACAGCGAATTACTGGTGATATTCGGGCGTTGCTGCACTCCAGAAGATTCCACCTTGTACGATGACAGATATCCACATCGCAAGGAGAAACGGTTGTGCACAATCGTCTCAGATCATCGTGGCTCTGGAGAAGCCGAACACGTCCAGACGTTCGCCAAATAAAGCTTGATACCAACATGTTGGCTTACCAGGAAAAAAGGTAGACACAAGGCTAAACGAAAAGCAGTTTCAAACAATATCACATTTATTCGGTCTAGTAAAGTATTGATGAAATTCGTCATATTTCTTCATCAGAACGGTTGACGATGATTGTCGATGTTGCCTCCGTCCGACAACATGCTTTTCGTTTTCATCGTTTCAGAAATCGAACTCTCAGTCTCAGAGACGAACAAATACTCCAGGGACGAATGAACGGCAAGACGAACGATACGTTGTGTAAAAAAAAAGCGAGGCAGACACACAGCTGCGATCCACAATTGCACATTACCCTTCTCTTAACGTTTTTCACGATTCCATTCACCATCATTTCTCGTATACTGTTCGCAACTATACATTAAAAAGTTATGGATAGTTCAGCTTAAGGATGTAAACAACTACTAGGACTTTAAAGCAGCACCGAATAACAAACGCTCTTCTTCAACATCCCGTCAACGTCAAACGCCTGAAGTCAAATGAAGTCTGGAACAGAAGTTCGTTGAACTGGCAAAACTAAAGCTAACACAGTACAACAACATGTGTTAGCAGACAAGATAAAAGATAACATTGTAGTAATTCCACGAAGTGATAAAGTGTTACTAGCACAATACTAAAAGTTGCAAAATATTAAAATCTCCTGGTTATCCAACTCTTGGTGGGACAGAGTACTTCGTAAAATTAGAATAATGCATATACTACTATACTACTTCAGGTAGCCTTAAATGCTTCGACACATAAATGGTTCATGATTGTAATTGGTGTAGTCTCCTCTAATTCTTCTATTCGTTTACGTGTGGTTTCGGTTAAAGTTTGACCGCTTTTTATCTCCACTCTTCACTAACAAACGAAATACTAGTAGGATGCAGTTCCCCGTAACGGGACTCTCGAGATAGATGTGCGAATACGTTCTCAGGTTTTCACCATAGGTAGACGACGGCCATTGCGAATCAAAGGAAGATCTGTTACTTTGCGACTACGAATCTCTCAAAATGACAGCGCTTTCTATGAGAGTTAAAATGCTTGCAATTAGTTGACCAGTTCAAAGTTGACGACGATACATAGTAGCTGGAAAGCTATGCAGTACTAAAGAAGAAAACTGTGAGTGTCGCCAAGAGTATCAAGGATTAATCGAAAACTTTCTGTATTAAATCATATGTGCAGTCAGGTTTCAAGATGAAAGATTAAAGGTTAAAGCGTTGGGTATCCATCAATCCCTGGGGATCCACCAAGCATTCGAATTTATCGAGCAACAAAGAAATGATGGAATACACATCTAGTCCATGCAGTGACTTGCAGTGTACTCCTGATGTATCAAGTCATTGCTTTTTTATCCTCCCAAACAAGCCCAGTACCAGTTTACCAGCTCCAAGAAGATTAGCCCTGGGCGAGGGATTGAGCCGGTGACCGATCCAATATGTACTACAGGACATCTTTAACCACCGCTCTACATAGGCCTCAGAAGTCTCATAATAACAAAATCACCTTAATGGTAATTTCACATTGGTAGTGAGAGTAAGTAAGTGACCCAAAACAGACACGTGAAATATTATACAAAGTTCAGTAACACAAAAAAAAGAAACTGAAAAAAATTGTGCGAAATGGCAAGAATTAACAGCAACACGATCAAATAAGTACTCGATACTAAGACACTTGGATGGCCCGTCTTTACTGGTTGTGCAGGCCTTATTATAATTTCCATTACTTTCTCTCTCGCGCGATCGTCGTCCATGGTGGCGCTCTGCTTTGAATATGATAACGTCCACAAGGCCCATTCTGTATTCTGAAATCCGCTTATAGTTTCAGTGCTTTTCCACTGTGACACCTGCATTCTCTTGGAATCCACTCCCCTGCTCTTTTCGTCCATTCGTCATCCGTTCTTCTTATTATGTAACTGATCAACTACGTTTTACTATTGATGTACATTCTCCTATATCACGAAAATGGGATAGGTTTCGAAAATCCCAGTTGAGTATTGCGACTAGACGTTGCGAGTGCAGGTCAAATTTCAAAAGATATCGTTCAAACGATCTGTGGATGGTTCCAAAATTTTTGAAGTCGTTTAACTATCAGCTCATAATTCTGGAGCACAACAGAGTGGTGAGAGGACCGCTAAGTCGAAAAGACAAGCTGAGTTTTGGGTATCTTAGTTAGTCGTTGGCTTCTATGAACGTCCTGAATGTGGCGCATGCTGCTTTCCTTCTTCTATCTAATTCCTCTTTCATACTGTTCTCAATGTACATTGAACGTCCAAGGTTCATTTTGTGCAAGGTGCTTTCTATTATCAAAGAACCATCCTGTTCGCTTTGT